GCAAGGCTGCAGGGGCCTTGCTCCAACAGCTGCCACAGAAGCTGCGACAACAAGCGTGCTTGAGTGGACGAGGCGCCCCACTCCTGTGCGGCAGAGAAAACCATGGTCTTGACAGACGAGGTCCATCGTTCCCACACAGAACGCGACGAAATGACGCTATCGAAGCTGAAACCCAGCGTCGGAAGATCTAGAAGAGGGCTTCTTCGAGAAGGACCAGGACGAGAAGGATGAAGGATTTTTGAATTTGACATGGACTGCAATAAGCAATCAATAAGCAATAGGATATATGACTGGAAAAGGGACTGTAGGCTTCTATGGGCACAACTTCATCATCAGACTCATTGTCCCATGCCTGCCACGCGAAAGAGGCGGAGACCCAGGGACGCCAGAGGGACGCCAGGGCGTACATCCAACCCCTTGGCAGTGCACATTGCCCCACGCCTGCCACGCAAAAGAGACGGAGACCCAGGGGCGCCAGGGCGTACATCCAACCCCTTGGCAATGCACATTGCCCCACGCCTGCTACGCAAAGGATGCAGAGCCCAAGGGACGCCAGGGCGAGTGAATGAGTGAGTGAGTGAGTGAGCGAGCGAGCGAGCGAGTGAGTGAGTGAGTGAGTGTGTGAGTGTGAGTGAGTGTGAGTGAGTGTGAGTGAGTGTGAGTGAGTGTGAGTGAGTGAGTGAGCGAGTGAGTGAGCGAGTGAGTGAGCGAGTGAGTAGCGAGTGAGTGAGTGAGTGAGTGAGTGAGTGAGTGAGCGGCTGATTGTGTACAACATAATTAATCATGTGGACTTGGCGAGGTGGTTTAAAACTTAGAAGGGAATACTCCCGGCCCCCATCCCCTGGTCCAGCTTTGAACCAATTTGAAATTGGAATCTGGGTATACCCGGAAAATGGTCGGGTTGATTGTTGAGAGCCCAGAAGGTGAGACCCCATAGCCAAGGGATTCAGGGAATTAAGGAACTAGGGGTTTTACAATCAAATAAGATACTTTGACTATGGTAATTTCATTGTCAAGTCAATGCCATGTGACAGTGCATTGACTAAGTTATAATAGTGATAAATCAATGTAATGTAAATGAAATGAAATATGAAATAATGAAATAATGATAATAATGATAATGAAATTAGAATTTGGATTTGGCGGATTTGGATGAACTACCTACTAGTACAACAGGGGATCTGTTTGATGATTGATGGTCTGATTTGATTGAATTTACAAATCCAACCGTCGGCCCAGGGACTCTCAGCTTGAGAGCTGCATCATTTGTGTGCGCGCTGGTTGAAGAACTATGGCATCTGAGGCCCTCAGGTGTGTTCAGAGGTGTATGTGGTGATGCCCACAAAAACTGCTTATCCCAGTAGTCGTAGTCCAATAGTCATAACCGAACCTCAAAATCCATCATAATCCCATCACTCCAATAACCCCCATAACAGCTACCGATCCAAATGAATATTGCTTCAGAGTCTTAAAATCCTGGTTGGATTGAAGATTTGGGTGTGGCTTACGGTGCCAAAGTTAGTACTTCTGAATCTGCAGTCGACATTCGACATCATGTCATGAAAGATGATGTGGGGTAAGATTGGTTTTGGTTGAAGTTGGGACAAGTAATTTTCAATTAATAAGGTGGGACCGGGACGTGACACATGATAGATTCGGAGTGAGGGTATGATAAATAAATCCATCATTCATCATTCATTCATCAGCATTCATCCAAGTAAGTTAGTTAGTTCCTAAGTATTACTAAGTTTTCATTGCATGTTCTTTTAACTTTTACTAATTACTAATAATCTAATATATCCTTGGTCCCTGCTATTACCATTCATCTAACTGGGATAATGAGACAGTTAGATACCCAAAAGATCAGGTTAGGGCAATTTCCTGCCTAATAGTTAAATTCCTTATTTCCTACCTAATTAGGTAATTTTTAAGGTAAAAATGTAACCTAATTTTAAGGTAATTCGGCACGCCGGCACGCGGGGTTGAAAGTTTGCGTGGAAACTTGCGAGCCGGGGCTGAAAGTTTGCATGCAAACTTGCGACACAAGGTTGAAAGTTTGGATGCAAACTTGCGAGGGGAGGTTGAAAGTTTGCGCGCAAACTTGCGAGGCGGGGTTGAAAGTTTGGATGCAAACTTGCGAGGCGGGGTTGAAAGTTTGCAAGCAAATTTGCGCCCTTGGACATGCACGCAAGCATTTGCAGGCAAATGGTGGTGCAAGTTTACATTCAAACTTGCGAGGGGGGTTGAAAGTTTGCCTGCAAACTTGCGAGGGGAGGTTGAAAGTTTGCATGCAAACTTGCGAGGCGGGGTTGAAAGTTTGCGTGCAAACTTTCGTTGAAAGTTAGGCAAAAAATAGTTAAGGCACTAATTTAGGTAAGGAAAAAATAAACTAATAGGTAATTTTTTTGTCTAAGATAAGGAATTACCTTTTCGGCAGGAAATTGCCTAACCTGATCTATTGGGTAGTATGGGGACTTTCAGACTGATTCGAATCGAATGCGGCAGCTTTGAGAACAGAACTTGGCAACTTCGGGCTGCAATGAACGCCTTGCAGTGTGGTGGTGTCAGTTTGCATCTGACAGCTGCACCTCACGTGGCCACTTCGATAGGTGCTACAACCCGGCACTAAGTCAAGGCTGGATGGCTGGATGACAAAGATAGCCGTCAAGTCTGTGCCCATGGCGATCTGGTCTGATCTTGGGCCCCGGAGCATCGGTCAAACAAGCCTACGAGATTGGCTCTGGAAGCTGCCCCTACCTTCAGCAGGTGGAAGGTGTTCATGATGCTTTTCGCTCCCGACGACGCATCGCCGTGGCATTGGGGATTGGGGATGTAATGCATTTTAATGCATAGTGGGGTATTACCAATTCTATCTCAAATCATACCCTAAATCCTAAATTGGATCACAGCCAAAAGGAAACAATCAGTGTGGCAGCACTGCATATGAACTTAGTGGGAATTTGAATTTGAGATTGAGGTAGGTACGGGAATGGAACTATCGCATTTTTGCAAATGCGTTCACCCAATAGAAGTTCTTGTATGATGGGATCAAAAAGGTTTAGTCAACAATCTCCGACTCAAGATAAGAAAACCATTCCTTTCTTCAATTACCCACTTAAACCGAAACGAATAATCAATTTAATCAATAATAATAATAATAACAGGGGACACTCAAATTTAATGAATCTTTCAGGGATTCCGCAAATTCTATGTTTGCCAGCTGTCCTACCCCGACCCCGACGGTTACCCATGAAGGCACCATTCATAATCTCTGATGACGAAGAAGAAGAAACTGCTGAAGTTGCCGTTGAAGCAAACACAAGGACGAAGGTTGAACTTTTTGATGGGTGGGTGACCGGCTGACCGGCTGGACGGTTCAAGTGGTGACCGGTCAACTCAAGTTACTAGTTCAGTGTTTAGTTTTCTTTTCAAACTATGGATGATCAGGATGATCATCAGATGATCGGATGATGATGATGGATAGAACAATTCCTCAGCATGGATGGGTATACCAGACTTGTGACCATTCGATATTTCCTGGTAAGGGACCCATTAGAGTTAGAATCAGAACGTGTTATATCATATATCATAATATATCAGAGTATATCATCATATGTCAATATCAAATATCATTTATCTTTTATCAAATATCATATATCATATATCATAAACCATATATCATATCATATCATGAATCTCATGAATCATCGCCATCATCATAGAAGCCACTTGGAAATATCAAATGGTCACTTAGGATCAACAACCACGAAAGTGAATGCAACATTGGAGAATCAAATAGGTCGGAGGGATACAATGCCATTATTCAATCCTACATTGCTAGTCAGAGTTCCCAGAATGCTATTGAGCCCTATTGACACTCGAACTCTAGCATGACCAGGAGCAGAAACAGAGTCCGGCCTTTCCAACTGGGAAAACTTCTTGAAAGCCTACTCATGGCTCGACGTCTGAAGTCAGAGGACACCCTGAGCGAAGTTTTGATTAGAAGTATGTCTTTCATAGTGGGCCCGGAAGAAGCCACGACCCTTGGTGCTTGCGGTATATGTTTTTTGAAAGGTTTTGGTAAATGATGAATGATGAATCACAACCCATTATGATGTCCAGTTTGTTTGGTTGGTTCACAATCGAAAATTGCTGAGACCTTGTTCAGCCAATGTAATACAATCAACATGACCCAAGAAAAAACTAGACACAAATAAGTCAATGGCATTTGGTTTTGATTGTTCGGTTTTGTTTCACACTTCACCAAAACCCGAGAGAGAGAGAGAGAGAGGTCCACAGTCCCGGGTCGCCAGGTGCTGGCCAGTAAAACCACATATACCTTCATACCCTTTTTCAGAAACGTTAGTTCTTATTAAAAGAAATCCTACCCTACTCCACCTCTTTGTTTTCAAATCAGAACCAATCCCTTTTGATTTAGATATGTCGATTGGCCCTACGGGATGTTTAAAAGAGTGATTCCTATTTCACTTTCAATGGAATGGAATGGAATGAATGATTCAATATGATTCAATCATGGACTCAATGGATTCGATGGGATGAGATCATGAGATGTACCAAATTATATGGTTCCAGTATATAGATAGACCAAGACATTGCCACTATCATTGCATAGATTCACTGCTACCTCCGGGAGACTGACTCCTCCTGATGTCAGATGAACCTTACAACACTGCAAACAACAAATATTCATACTGGATCATAGGAATAAGCAATCAATCAACATCCCAATCAATGGTGTTTTGTTTGCTTGCCATGTCTTGTCCAAGATTGGAAATTTGAATTCATAACCAGTATGTAATTACGTTTGAAACATTTGCCTTACCCTTTTCTACTCTACTGAACTTTCCCGATCCAATGCCAACGGGATGGGGTGTTCCTAATGGTGTTCCTAGCTTAGGAACGTTTACCGACGGATCCACGGAAAAGAAATTGGTGTTCCACACAAAACTCAGCTCAGCAGAAGCCGGATCAAGTTGGATATGGTCCTTATGAACCTGCGGCAGTCGGAGTTTGCCAAAGGCGTACCAGTTTTTCTTTACTTGAGCGCTGATGCCTCACCTCAAGGAAGCCTAGAGTATTTTATCGTTCTGGAGGACCGTGTTAGTTGTGAAAACGCTGCTATGATTGTTGAAGCTACTGAAGAGGAGAGGAACCGGTGGCGCAAGGAATGCAATTTGAAAACAACATGTTTACCGACTCAAATTCTAGGCAGCGGCAAAGCCAGTTCAGCTGCCAAGTACGAAGCATTGGCTAGTGCGGTGATGCTGGATTCCATGTGGGAAGGCAATCCCGTCCATGCCTCGCGATACGGAGCCTGCGTCATTGGTTACTGCTCGGACTTTGGTCCAGAAGCCAACGTGACTGGACTTCCACAGTTTTGCATCCAAGATCTTCTGAAGCAGAATGTTGCAAACAGTGGGGGGCTACTGGCACTGAAAAGTGAAATGTCGAAACAACACCTTACAGCTCCAATTCAGGATGAAGGAGAAATTTTTGAGGATGTTATGATACTGGAACCGCAAGATGCTATTGTTCAACAACCTCAAGATCCTGTTCCTGAACCAAAGTCATTCTTCTCTCTGTCGTCGGCCCTTATGATTCCAGGGGTGAAACATATGTTCGACAATGCTCACAAGGAGTTAGTCAGCGTGCTCAAATTTTACCCCACATATGCAGCCACTTGGCAATTTAATGTGATTCAGTACATGTAAAATGTATCACGCGAGTTTAGTTCTTTCTTTTGGGTCTTTCTTTTGGGACTTGATCCAACATCACCGCATCACCAACCCCAAACCAAAAGAAACACATTGGATCTCCAATTATATCTATGTTAGTCCAAACCGACCCCACCACCCCAAAGTCGCATGCTGGTAAGGATTCATTGAACGCGGTGGTTGCGATGCTGCATTTGAAGACGTACCGTGACAGGTTGGTGGTCCTTTGGTTTTGGAAACCAATATGTTTATTTGGGAACGGGCTTGCTGCTGTCAGTTGTAGGCCTGTAGGCTGTAGGTTACACCTTCATTGTTGGATAGTTAAGGGGTCCAGTGGGATTTTACATACACTTAAGCATTATCTTCAAACTCCAAGGAAAAATGCTATGCAGATCCCGGGCCTTTCTCACAGTACCGAAAAATTATGAAATACTGGGAAGGCGGCCAATTGAGAACTTGGAGATGGAGCTCACTAGTCAACGTTGTTCGATCATTAAACAAGCGGGAGCAAGCCCTGAGAGATGGTTGGAACAAAGATCGATTCGGTGACATTGGAACTACCAACACCATCCATGAAGCTCTGACATCGGAACTGTTTTGGAAGTATTCTCATTTTCTGAACAACGTTGCTGGAGCCGTTGATTTGGGATCCAGTTTCTGTGAGGGATGTGAGTGCCATGAACATCAAGGACTGAAACACAATTCGTACCAAGTGAGACGAAATGAAATTGTCAAACGCATGCGCTCTGCAATCAATGATGATTGCGAGGAAAAATTGCCTTATCCACCATCCTGTCCGCTGAAAAACCGAAGATCTGCCGAACTGGCCTCTGGAGCATTTACCCGATTCATTCAGGACACATTGGATGTCACAATGGAATTACTTCAAAATTTCCGTGGATCACTGAGCGATCGTGATTGGCAAACCATCTTGGATGATTGGATGTCGGCAAGAGCCACTAGCACAAAGACAACTAGTTTTCTGTTCTGTTTAGGTTGTGGTGTGTGTTCCCCTGTTTTCAGTACTCACTGGGAAAACCTAGTTTTATGGCATATGGTGCAAAATCTCTGACATTGGTGGTGATGTTATGTCAACTGCCATTGCCCTGAATTCATGATCTCAGGATTCCATCGCTTCAAATCTGATCATTAAGACATCACACTGGAATGTTCTCCCGTGGAAACTATGTGGGTTGGGCTCCAGTGACTTTGAGTTGGCCCGCAGCTGCGGGCGTGAATGCGTGCGTCTCTGGAACAGCATGCGTGCGGACAGCAATCAAACTACTCCACTCTACCATCCCATCACAAAGCGTTTCCTTGACCCTGTTACCTGGTGTGAGCTTTTGACTGTTTGCTGTAAAAGTTTTTTATTGTGCTGTAACGACGGTATTGTATTTTACTGTATTGTGTTGTATGGTATACTGATGTATATTGTTGTATTGTAGTGCAGTTTATTGTGCAGTTTATTGTGTTGTTATATTTCTTTGGGCAGAAACTAGACTAGACTAGACTAGGCTACTAGACTTCGCCTGGCAACTACTACTATGCCAGATGCCATAACCCATGTTTTCATGAGTCATAGTTAGACACATGGATGGGCGATTCCAATTCAAATTCCAATCCGATTCCGATTCCAATTCATCGCCATCAAGCACTGTATGCTTTAGGGGGCCCCCACAATGTAATTGTTTCTTCTCTTGGGAAACTGGACTGGGCTGGAACCCATCACAATAATTATGATCATGTGGTTAGCTTTTCATGGCTACGTTCTTAGGACTACTCTGGACCTGGGCCATCTTTACGGGATGAACTGGATGAATACCTGGGTGGAACGCCAATGCGGTCTTTACCGCTCTTGCGACAGTGGGTGGGTGCCCTGAAGTTAATCCGGCTGGCTGAACGAGAAACTGAGGACTGTGTCATGTGTCATGTGTATCAAAACATGTTTGTGTGTCTTCAATCAGGATGTTTTGAACGGAGGCCCCAGGAATCAAAGAATGGCACACTTTTGACCTTCTCCCTGAATGGTTCTCCTGATTACTGATACGGAATGAATTGGAGTGTTCACCGACGCTGGCTCCCTGCAGGGCCAACACCGGACAATAACCCAGGTGTTCAATCATGCCCCTTCAGCATCAGAAAGTTATGTCTCAACAGAACTGCGACAACGATTGCTTCCCATGTATTTTTCTACCCCTCAGGAGACATGGGTCATGGCGGAAGGTAGGGGGTGTGGTGTGGGAATGCTGTTGGAAAGAAGACTGAAGACCTTTTAAGTTCCAGCCAAATGAACCAACAAACATCAGAACAGACAGTGTTTAATTTTTTTGTGTGTTATTGGGATCATCTTCATACCCATGATGATTATGATTGGTCTGTGGGGTTTTCCAAAATCTAGATTTCGATTTTGAAACCGACAACTTTAATCAATCATATATCGCTCACCCGACCCCGTGCCTGAGAATTGATTTGAAACAAACGAACCAATGTGGACCAAATAATACATGATAAGTTGGTGTTTCAACATGGTTGTTTCAACTCAACATATGACTGGATTCGGTTTCCATTCCTGCCGGATTCCATTTTGTATTTTTGATATCCAATCGCACCGGGGTCGGGTCCGGTCCGGTCCAGGAGTTGGCCGATGCTGCCAATGATTTCGAAACGATCGCGACACAGCAAGGATCTTCTCAGGCAGTCGCGAGACTGGTGGGTGGACACGACTGCGTACTTCTGTTTGAGTTTTTCAACATTTTCTGATTTTTCCTGTTTAGTAGATCAATGGTCATTTCAGGATCCTAAAAATGGATGTACTGTACCATATAAGGCCATATTTTGTAGTGATATTCACTTACATAGGCCTTATAGGCTTATATATGGTAGGTACCTCCATTTTAGGATCCTGAAATTCCCATTGAGTAGAGCGTATGGTCACCAATCCCAATCAATCTACATGTCCCCGGTAAAAAATGCATCTTTCATCACGGTTTCGGTTTCGATCTTCAACTTGAAGACTTGACTGACTCAATTCAACTTACAGGTCTAACACAGTTTCCGATGATCATTGACAGGTGTATATGTTATTCTTCAACTTCTTGTTTCCAGTGTGAGTGTGAGAGTAACAGTAACAGTTCAGCACATATTATCATCAGCAACTAGACTAAGACTAACCATTGGACTATTGGCCACTAGTTATGGTTTTACTGGTGGTCTGGATGGCAATGGGGACGGGACAGGACTAGAGACTTGGGGGCAAACAGTGAGATATAGATAGATCATTGATAATATACATGGCTGTTGAAATGATACTACTTTTGATACCACTACTGCTGATAATGATAATGATACTGAGAACTAATAATTAAATTAAATACTATTATGATACTTAATACTGATACTAAGAATACTACTACTATCTATCAGTTCTTAGAGTATCAAGATTTGATGCCATCAATACAATACTACCTAGCCTAGTACTCAGCATAGTTGGTTTACGTTTAAGTCTGACATTATGTCATTATGACATATAATTCAGTAATCTTATCACTGACATTAACTCGACACTTATAAATTCTTATCGGGTTATCGGTGATTACTTGAAGTTGGGACAAAAATATTTTAACTGTTAGTTAGCACCACATTGGGAAGTTGGGTCCCGGGTAGTAGCTGAGCTCGCTGGCTCACTCAGTGGACTGGGCTACCTAGGTAGCTACCAAATTGCTTTCAGATCGAGAGCAAAAGCATCTCATCTACAAAAGGCAAACACAATTTGCAGCTGGTGATGTGGTCTCCCTGCTTGTGTCCACAAGCATTGCCTCACAGCTGGCCAGCAAAAAGTCGCAGGTCTCGAAAGCTCTGAAAGATGTTCAAGTAAAGACACCAACCGGAGCTTTAGAACATCTGATGCTGCAGCACTTCCGGGAGACTGCAAATCACTTGTTTTTCTACAGTCTTCCCGTTGATTTGGTGAGAAAGTTACCTATGAAGCAGCTTTCAGTTGCGTTGACATCCATGCTGTCAGTGAAGGGGAAAGCTGCTCAGCCATCTGGCACTTTGCCGCTGGGACCTGAACATCAATCACTGCCTCTACAAGATCGGGTACCGGCTTTGCCCCATCTTCACCAGGAGCCTTCAAGTTTTTTGGGACCATTGGAAGATGAGTGTTCGAGCAGCAATCATGGCGAAAGTAAGCCCGCTGAGACCAAGCTTGACTTGGAGCAGTTGATATCGCTTTGCCAGTGTGATGGCCTTCTGCTGTTCAAGGTGGCTGACAAGAGCCCACATTTGAAGAAACGGCCTTTGCACAGCGTAGACAACTTGCTGCCATCAGAAATTGCAATTCGATTGTACCGGGCTGAACTCATCAATGACACAGACATCCAGATCTCTCCCACGGCTAGTTCGGAGGTGCCACTGCTCCAACTATTCACAGGTGATCCACAGCCGGTGATTGATCACTTGCGTAGCTGGAAACTTGATGTGGGATTTTTGTTGAAGGAAAGTGGAAGGGCGTTCCAGCAACGTGTGCCGTGCCCCCTTACACTTGCGTCTGTAGATCTGAAGCGGAATTTCAAGCCCACTGCGTTCGAATTGTTTTTGGAACTACGATCAAGAGGCTGGGAATGGAAGACCTGGGGTGGCAAACCTGCAGACCTGAAGAGGCTGTCCATTCAACTTGATCCGTTGCTGGGGAGAGATGTGTACTACAGTGGACAGTTCCACCACTGTTTGTGCTTGGTGACGCTCCCAGCAATCTCAAAGGATCTTAGAAACACCAGCTTCTTGATGCATGGGCAGCTTGAGATCTACTACCAGACCGCCTTTACACTTGCCCAGCAAGCACGACTGGACGATCTTCAGCAGTTGCGTCCGAACCAACCGGCACAGTTCTACAGGACTTGGAACAGGTGGGATTTGGTTTCATTCCTCAAGAGGAGATGGGTTCAAAGATGATCAAATATGTCAAACACCTGGGGAGTGTAAACGCACACACACACATGACTATACTGAATATGAATTTGAATATATATATATATATATATATAACTTTTTTCACTCGCCCTACCGAACCTCCTTGAAGAGGTCACACTGTTGGCCGGGTGTGGGGCTGGAACCTTGCTTTGGGGCCAACGCACCACCTGTAGCAATAAAGCGGGTGGTGTATGAGAGCAGGACACATGGGCTAAAGTGCCTGCTCGGGCAAACCTGGCTACGCAACTTGGGGCATTGCTGCATGGGTACCCGTGGCAATGCTTCCAAGTTGCAGAACCGGGGGTTCCGAGAAAGGGAGGCCATATATCTTTATATAAATATATATATATATATATATACATACATACGTACTTACATACATACATACATACAATATGCATATTACTGTCTAGTTTTTTTACAGAACAGGCCACTGTGGGAGTGCGCAAATTGCAGCATTTCCTGTGCAAAGATCCAACAGCATATGGCGCAACCGGACAAAATTGAATTCCATTCCTCTCTGCTGTTCATTGGCTGAATGCACTATGTCATAGCAAACATTGCTGTACTGTAGTGTATCGACCTTGCTTCTAGTGCAACCACTGACAGTGCCTGGCAATCTCTGCTTGGCACATCTGCAATGGCTATCCACACACAAACCAAAAAACCAAAAAACCAAAAAACCAAAAAAACAAAAAACAAAAAAACCAAAAAAACCAAAAAGACAAGACCCAACACTCTGCATCTGACCCCCTCCCCTTGGGGTGTGCAATCTTGTTTTTTTTGTTTTTTTTGGTTTTTTGTTTTTTTGGTTTCTTGTTTTTTTGGTTTTTTGTTTTTTTGTTTTTTTGGTTTTTGCCTGCCCGACCTCTAGTGCAACCACTGACAGTGCCTGGCAATTTCTGCTTGGCACATCTGCAATGGCTATCCACACACAAACCAAAAAACCAAAAAACCAAAAAAACCAAAAAAACCAAAAAGACAAGACCCAACACTCTGCATCTGACCCCCTCCCCTTGGGGTGTGCAATCTTGGTTTTTTTGTTTTTTTTGTTTTTTTGGTTTTTTGGTTTTTTGGTTTCTTGGTTTTTTGTTTTTTTGTTTTTTTTGTTTTTTGTTTTTTTGGTTTTTTGGTTTGTGTGTGGATAGCCCAGACCTTGCCCATGGGTCTGAACTTTTCTTTTTGTGTTCTCGAGGTTTTTGGCCAAACTGCAAAAAACCATGGAAAAACCAAGAAAACAAAAAGTTCAGACCCATGTCCCCTGCCAGGCCTCTCCCAGACCTTGCCCATGGGTCTGAACTTTTTTTTTGTTTTTTCCATTGTTGTTTTGAATGTTTTTCATGTGAAGATGCTTTCATCACAGTACCTCTCAAAAAAATGCGCGTCTCTACAATTTGCACACCTGCGCCCCCCAGGCCAAACTGCAAAAAAAACAATGGAAAAACCAAAATGCATTAATGACTTATATAATGGCTAATATAATGATTAATGTAATGACTTATTTTTTCAAGAATATAATGACTAATAAAATGATTAATATAATGATTAATATAATGATTAATAAAATGATAAATAAAATGATCAATGTCATGATGAATATAATGATTTATATAATGATTAATTTAATGATTATTAAAATGAAGAATTTAATGATTAATATCATGATTATTATCATGATTCATATAATGATTAATGTAATGGTTCATATAATGCCTAATGCAATGACTAATATAATTCATATAATGATTAATATAATGATTCATATAATGATAAATATAGTGATTCCTTTCATGATTTATTTAATGACTTTTATAATGACTAAGATAATGATAAATATAATGATTTTTGTAATGGCTGATATACTTGTTAATTTATTGACTAATTTAATGATTAATATCATGATTCATATAATGATTAATAAAATGATTAATATAATGATTCATTTAATGATAAATATAATTATTCTTTTCATGATTCATTTAATGACTTTTATAATGACTAGTATCATGATTATATTTTAAGAATGATTAATATAATGATTACTATTATGATGAATACAATGATTATAATATCATGAGTAAAATACTGGCTAGTTTAATGAGTTTATATATAATGAGTAATGTAATGAGTAATGTAATGATTAATAAAATGATTAATATAATGATTAATATAATTATTAATTTAATGACTAATATAATGATAAAAACAATGGCTAATATAATGAATGTTAAAATGATTAGTATAATGATTGATATAATGATTAATATACTGATTAATATAATGATTAAAATAGTAATTCATATAATGACTAAAATAATGATTAATAAAATGATAAATAAAATGATCAATATCATGATGAATATAATGATTTATATAATGATTAATTTAATGATTATTAAAATGAAGAATTTAATGATTAATATCATGATTATTTTCATGATTCATATAATGATTAATGTAATGGTTCATATAATGCCTAATGCAATGACTAATATAATTCATATAATGATTAATATAATGATTCATAGAATGATAAATATAGTGATTCCTTTCATGATTTATTTAATGACTTTTATAATGACTAAGATAATGATTAATATAATGATGTTTGTAATGGCTGATATACTTGTTAATTTATTGACTAATATAATGATTAATTTAATGATATATATATATAATGACTAATATAATGATTAATAAAATGATTAAATTAATGAATTATTTAATGACTGATATAATGATGATTCATTTTATGATTCATTTGATGATTAATATAATGATTCATAGAATGATTCATATAATGATTCATATAATGATTCATATAATGATTTATTTAATGACTTATATAATGACTAATATAATGACTAATATAATGATTAATGTAATGACTGCATGGAAAAAAGTGCACTCCCACAGCGGCCAGCTCTCTTTTTTTACAGGCACAAGGTGAACATTGATTATTTCTTGGTGACTTGGTAGTTGGTTAAATGGTTAATAGTCAGTTAGCAATTAAGCATAAGCATAGCATAGTATAGCCATTAATTGTGGCAGTGCCATTTCTGATTCCAATTAAATTGATCCAACATAAAATCATTGCATTTCGACCTGTTCATTGAGGGCACTGTCACTGCCAACTGGACCACTGACCACTGACATGGGTGATCCGTTTTACATGTGGGATTGTTGGTATTTGAGAATTCCAACCAGCCACGCCACGCTGTCACGCTGTGCCACGCTGGCGGGGCGGGGCCACGCCACGCCACGCAAGTCACGTAAGGAATCCAAGCACCATCCTTTTAGCGGGATGGATTCTGTTCAACCACTATTAGAAAATGGTCGGTTTCATGTTTTCTTATCCATAGTATCCAGGTCCATAGTCCATAGTTTAGTTCATCTCAGTTAGTTAAACAGTTGACATTGATTGACCTCGACCTCTACTTGAACTGAACGAACTGACCGAACTGAACATTAATTTTGGGATAATCTACCCCAGCCATAGTACCCATAGTCCCATAAACCATTCAGTCTACCAAATATGCAACCATACCATCCCTTTGTTTTCATTCTTCATGGATGGTACCAATACATGCCGTCAGGGTCAGAAAGAATTTGAGTGCACCGTGAAAACTTATGTTTTTTTTGTGTGTGTGTGGTGCAGCGCTGGCTTTATTAGCTTATAATAATAACATTGGCATTGGCATCATCATCATCAACAATAATCAAAAGATTAACGGGACCTACGACAAAATCATAGGACCGAATAATTTGACACCAAGAGCCCATCTCTAAGGTAACCGTGAAATGGTTTGTCCAGGGTTGCACTGCATAGCACAAATCCCAACCAAATTTACAGGGTCAACACACCAAACATCTTAATCATTGCTGCTTGCATTTACCCGCAGGACGCTGTTGACATCTGATGTGGAAAATCCAGCTGATCATGCTCTACATGAGGAGCCTGATGAAGAGGCCTACATGATGTGGGCATGGTGGGGTCAGGCCTTCTAGTGTTGTGAGTTGTGATTGTGAAATTCAAGTGAAACCATCATTGGCCACAACAACCTTCCTGAAAAGTACAGGTTTGTTGCAGCTAGATCATATCGCTGGATTGTAAGTGCAGATACTCCTGGCTGCCACTTGCCAGTGACCATGATATGAAATGAACACATACACCGACATTAAACATGTCACATCTCAGGTCTTATATCACTTCTCACTTCTCATTTCGGATTTCAATCAATGAACCAATAACCTATCCCAGGTCCCAGGTCCTCAGGCTGCCACAGTTCGTATTGACGACTTACACGGCACTGTTTTTTCAATACATATCGCTACTACTTCACTGAATTGAAATGACCGAACAATTTAGAGTTTGGACGTTTGGGCTGCTAGGGTTTTCAGTTTTGAGTTATTTGGAGTTGTTGAAACTAGAAACGCATTAGAACTTGTTGTTAGTTGTTTGCTGTGAATCAGAAGCATTATCATCATCATGAATCATCATATCGGTTCAAGGGTCAGATTGTTTGAACAAAAAGAGAACATGGCTTCCAGCTCGATGTCAAGCAATGAATCTATGCTTTCCTACTTTCATCTTCGCCGGAGTGGACGTCGCATTGATTCACAGGAAACTCTCATCCTAGGGAAAACGGACGGGGACACAGAGTTGCCGGACAGTAGACCGGTTGAATTTGAGGCGGTCCGTTCTAGTGCTGAACTTGCAGCATTTTTCCCAAGAACGGAAGAGCCCAATGCAGACATGTCTATCATCAGAGAAGCTGGACCAGTGGTGGAGGGCAACAGTGCCGTGGATCCCAGACCAAGGAAACTCAGCAACAAGGAGAAAGCAGCCATGGGGGCGAACAGGGTCGGGATGTGGACCCGTCAACGGGTTTGTTGCCCACATGACCCCGAGACCAGTGTGGATCTATGGAAACCAGATGGTTGCTTGTGGGGCGAGGGTCTCAATCATGACATAGTCTCGGTTGTGAACAAGTTCAAGTTCAAGAAGTCTCGGCGGCAACAGCCACAGCACCATACTTGCCGCCAGTTTGCTTCGTTGCTGGTGATTGGTTTAGGTCGGTCTGTCCTTATAGTCCTTTGGGGCTAACATCGTACTTATGAACAACTTATGCAATCTTAAGTTTGGAATGTTGGTTCACTCAATGTGCAATCGCAAGTCAAATGTGGGATTTCATTCCAGTTTCACAGTCAATGTACTGTAAATACATTTTTGTTGTGGTTGATGTTTTGATGTTTTTGTTGGTAAACAAAGTTCACAGTATCACCATCCGAGCTATTTATTTCCGATTGGGGTTCCATTGGATGCTAAGGTTCCTGAAGATGAACATGCGTCGCAAAGGATGGAAAATGACAGAGACCACGGAGATGCCTGGCCCTGGATTTATCAAGATGCTTCCAGCAGAGTATGAGCAATCCGATTATCTCAGCCATTTCTCTTTTAGCGACGGCGAAACCAACTGAGAGATGCATTTGCAGTTGATCCGATATGGGTCTTGACGTAGTTTTGACACACAAAATTTCAACTGATCCATTTTACTTTTGGTATGGTGCACCATGAAAATTTGGCCAGCTGCATTCATGGAACAGCGTGGCGCTGGTGCACGGTGGTGGTGCCAATTAAGTTGCACATGTTAACATTGTTTGGGCACATCGGTGCCAATTCCAATTCAATCTGAGATTCAATTTGCTGCCACTCTGCCATGCAGTCATCAGTGACAGTGGGCAGTGGCGTTTCCGGGTGAGGACATGAGATGGACCGAAAAGATGTGCCACACTAAGAGTACCAGGTTAGGTAGGTAGGCAGGCAGTCAGTCAGGCAGTCAGGCCAGGTAGGCAGGTAGGTGGTAGCTAATAGGTATGTTATGCCTGGTCTGCGAAACTATGGGTAGGTACCTTAATTTGACATTTTTGACACAGGGGTTTGGAGATAGGAGTTTCACAGTTTACAGTTTGTTGATTGGACAGTACATTGACGACTCACTACTTTGGTTGACACACTGACACAGGGGCATGGGAGAACGTATTCTCATTCAATTTTCTTCCAAACAATATAATGATGTTGATGTTTCTCCTCATTGTTGGTCTATCATCCTTGTTTTTGTGGTACAAATATTCATGGTTGGACCCGCTGCTGGCAGGCTGTTGATGAGCATCCTCGAGGGGAAGTCCAAGTGCTGAACAGGGAGGACGAAGTGGACATAGCCGACCAGGCAATGTCAGCGAGAGAGCTGGCTAGACTTGTTGAGGACTTGGGGCTCTGGGTGTTTGGAGTCTGGATTTGGGACCATTTATCTCTGGCAGATTTCTTCAAGCGTGACTTATTTAGAATTAGAATCCTTATCAGTATGAGTGTGACACATTATCATTGTTTTGTAGTTTAAGTTTAGATTATGTTTGTGTGTATATATATACTTGCAGTAATAATGTTATGGAATATGGGACCCCACCCCCATTTAGATGAGTTTAGATGATATGAAAATGAAGATGGTTACTTTGACAGAATTTTGATTGTTATAAGTTATAAGTTATATGATATAATATATTAATATTTCATGAATTGTGATATTGAAATCGAATCGAAATCGACTATACAGATTTGAAATATGAATGGGGGATCGCCCGGGTGGGTGATTGGGATGTGTTTGTTTGTTGGTGGTTGGATTGATGGTTTATTGTGGAGCGACTTTGGGATTTGGGATTGTAAGGGTTGGATATTTGAGCTTACTCACTGACTGACTGAGATAATTGAATTCACTGACACCCTCAGTAACTTACTGACCGGGACCAAAAAAAATCATCATTGATCATCATTGACAGGCTATTTTTTGAATCCAACTGGTTGAACCCAGAACCAAATAAGATTTTATGGGGCAACACCCCAATATCCAACCATATCTCACCCATGGTTTAAGAGCAAGGATGGCCGTGAAGTCATCGTGTCAGAGGATGTGTCTTGGGCAAGTGCAGCTTTAGGTGCAAGAAACTGAAAGGAAATGGGATACAGCAGTAAAAAAAACAATGTCAGAGCTATGTTTTAGATTTGATGTTTATAGTTGATATCAGCGATAGTTATTATTATTCAGAAAGATTATTATTCAGAATTCAGAATCAGAATCCAGAAAAAAATCAACCAAGTCTAGGGTTTAGGTCACTAACTGGGCGCTTACTGATCACAACACAATCAAAGATTGGCCCGGGACTTGGGGCCGGACCAAGTTGCCCGTGACCCGGAGCGATGTGGAGATGTTAGGTTAGATGTCAGGGGCGTCAGTGTCATTAGTCATTAGTCATCACATTTAATATTTAAAATAAAACTTGTTGACTAGTTGACTTAACTATGACTATGACTAAATACTAACTACTTATGACTACTACAAGTCTTAGACTCAGACTCAGAATACTGGTGGTTATCTCATCAGAAAAAATAATTATTTCTGGTGATGTTTTGCGTGTGTGTTGAGTACAATGTTGAGATGTGACAATGACTATATTCTCTGGAACATTGATAACCATAACCCAAAGCATGTGTTCATTCCATTCAATGAAACATTTAGTAATTACTTGGATTAATTTGGATTCGATTGGATGCGCATTTGGCATTGGGTAAGGGGATGCTAAGATTTGATTCTCTGATTCATCACAACCTGACCAATGTTTAAGTAGCTACTACTTGTGTGATATGCTTTATTTGACCATTGCCCCTACAGGTCACAATGTCACACGGGTTCGCTGGGGAAACCCGACTCCGGACCGGACGGGTGGTAAATCAGAATCGAAACCGAGGCGGCCGGCCGCAGGCCGCAAGACCAGGCTGCTGAAAGGAACTATATACAAACGGAATGGGTGAACACTCTGAAACTTTGTGCATCTACTCTACTCAGCCGGTGTATATGATGGTGAAAATTTTGTGAAAATTCAAAACCTGGTGAAAACCTGGTGAAAACTTTGTGAAAACCTGGTGAATTCAGCAAATTTCTTTTTGGTGTTGAAAACTTGGTGAAATTTGAAAACCTGGTGAAAACTTGGTGAAAACCTGGTGAATTCACCAAGTTTTTTTTTTGTGCTGAAAACTTGGTGAAATTTGAAAACTTGGTGAAAACCTGGTGAATTCACCAAGTTTTTTTTTGGTGTTGAAAACTTGGTGAAATTTGAAAACCTGGTGAATTCACCAAGTTTTTTTTTGGTGAAAACTTGGTGAAATTTCAAAACCTGGTGAAAACCTGGTGAATTCACCAAGTTTTTTTTTTGGTGGTGAAAACTTGGTGAAATTTCAAAACCTGGTGAAAACCTGGTGAATTCACCAAGTTTTTTTTTTGTGAAAACTTGGTGAAATTTCAAAACTTGGTGAAAACCTGGTGAATTCACCAAGTTTTTTTTTTTGGTGAAAACTTGGTGAAATTTGAAAACTTGGTGATAACCTGGTGAAAACCTGGTGAATTCACCAAGTTTTTTTTTGTGAAAACTTGGTGAAATTTGAAAACCTGGTGAAAACCTGGTGAATTCACCAAGTTTTTTTTGGCCTGGTGAAAACTTGGTGAACTTTCAAAACCTGGTGAAAACCTGGTGAATTCACCAAGTTTATTTTTTTGGTGGTGAAAACTTTGTGAAATTTGAAAACCTGGTGAAAACCTGGTGAATTCACCAAGTTTTTTTTTTGTGAAAACTTGGTGAAATTTAAAACCTGGTGACAACCTGGTGAATTCACCAAGTTTTTTTTTTGTGCTGAAAACTTGGTGAAATTTGAAAACTCGGTGAAAACCTGGTGAAAACCTGGTGAATTCACCAAGTTTTTTTTTGGGGGTGAAAACTTGGTGGAATTTGCAAACCTGGTGAAAACCTGGTGAATTCACCAAGTTTTTTTTTTCTGGTGAAAACTTGATGGAATTTGCAAACCTGGTGAAAACCTGGTGAATTCACCAAGTTTTTTTTGGGGGGGGTGAAAACTTGGTGAAATTTGAAAACCTGGTGAAAACTTGGTGAATTCACCAAGTTTTTTTTTTGGTGAAAACTTGGTGAAATTTGAAAACCTGGTGAAAACCTGGTGAAAACCTGGTGAATTCACCAGGTTTTTGAAAAATCACCAAATCAAAAATCAAGAAGCGTTTTGCACCTCTGAAATTCACCAAAAGAAGCGTTTTGAGCATTTTTTTGGTGAAATTTATCCGTTTTGGCGGTGAATTTGAAGAAAAAAATCACCAAGGTGACAGCTTGGTGAAAACCTGGTGAAAACTTGGTGAATTCACCAGGTTTGGTGAAAACCTGGTGAATTCACCTGATTTTTTAAAAACTTGGTGAAAACCTGGTGAATTCACCAAGTTTTTTTTTTTGGTGGTGAAAACTTGGTGAACTTTCAAAACCTGGTGAAAACCTGGTGAATTCACCAAGTTTATTTTTTTGGTGGTGAAAACTTTGTGAAATTTGAAAACCTGGTGAAAACCTGGTGAATTCACCAAGTTTTTTTTGGGTGGTGAAAACTTGGTGAAATTTCAAAACTTGGTGAAAACTTGGTGAATTCACCAAGTTTATTTTTTTTTGTGGTGAAAACTTGGTGGAATTTGAAAACCTGGTGAAAACCTGGTGAATTCACCAAGTTTTTTTTTTGTGAAAACTTGGTGAAATTTCAAAACCTGGTGAAAACCTGGTGAATTCACCAAGTTTTTTTTTTGTGAAAACTTGGTGAAAATTTGAAAACCTGGTGAAAACCTGGTGAATTCACCAAGTATTTTTTTTTCTGGTGAAAACTTGGTGAAATTTCAAAACCTGGTGAAAACCTGGTGAAAACCTGGTGAATTCACCAAGTTTTTTTTTTGGGTGGTAAAACCCTAGTGAAGTTTCAAAACCTGGTGAAAACTTGGTGAATTCACCAAGTTTTTTTTTTGTGGTGAAAACTTTGTGATATTTGAAAACCTGGTGAAAACTTGGTGAAAACCTGGTGAATTCACCAAGTTTTTTTTTTCTGGTGAAAACTTGGTGAAATTTCAAAACCTGGTGAAAACCTGGTGAAAACCTGGTGAAAACCTGGTGAATTCACCAAGTTTTTTTTTGGGTGGTGAAAACTTGGTGAAATTTGAAAACCTGGTGAAAACTTGGTAAAATTTGAAAACCTGGTGAAAACTTGGTGAAAACCTGGTGAATTCACCAAGTATTTTTTTTTTCTGGTGAAAACTTGGTGAAATTTCAAAACCTGGTGAAAACCTGGTGAAAAAACCGGGTGAATTCACCAAGTTTTTTTTTTTGGTGGTGAAAACTTGGTGAAATTTGAAAACCTGGTGAAAACTTGGTGAATTCACCAAGTTTTTTTTTTTTGTGGTGAAAACTTGGTGAAATTTGAAAACCTGGTGAAAACTTGGTGAAAACCTGGTGAATTCACCAAGTTTTTTTTGTGGTGAAAACTTGGTGATATTTCAAAACTATGTGAACATCTGGCGAAAGCTTGATGAATTCACCACGTGTTTTTTTTTATGTTTGGTGAAAACCTGCTAAAATCAAAATTTGGTGAGTTCACCGATTCACCAAGTGTTTATTTTATTTTGGTGAAATAACCTGGTGAGCTATTTCAAAACTTGGTAACTTGGTGAAAGCCCGGTGATCTTTTTAAAAAACAACTTGGTGAAAACTTGGTGAACTGATTAAACTTGGACCTTGTCTTGATTAAAACAAAAACTTGGTAATCTTTTGACACACTTTTCTGAAAACCTGGTGAACTGATTAAACTTGGTGAAAACGGGTGATCTTTTACAATTGTCGAGACACTTTCTGAGTAGCCAGTTCAGTAGCCAAAGATAAACTGATAAACTAATCTTATTGTACTCACCCAACCATCATCCCAGGTTGCCAATGTGCCAGCTTCTTCAAGTTCGAGACATCGTGCAGCTTCGGAGACTCCACGGGCTGCGGCATCTGGATCGACACCCCAATCATTGAGGGCTTTAGTTCCCGGGAAAGGATCTATACGTGGTGTTTACCTGAAGCGTATTGCTATGTCACGCCTCTACCAAGGCTTTTATCCTGGTTTCTTGTCATCATTGGCAGTGGTGTAGTGGTCTGGTCGTGTCATGTTTATACTCTATAGGCTTTAACTCCATTGTATTATTGTTGTCATTGCTGACTCAAAAGGAAATTCAAATTATATCAGTGATCAGTGTTTTGACAATTCAATGGGATTCAATGGTAGTGGTGGCCAACCGGTTAACAGTTAACCCATGGTCATTTGTCATTTGATGCTGCTGGATGCTGCGTGGTGACCACGTGGTGGGTGGATCTGCGTTGGTTTTCAAAGTTTTCCATATTGACTATTGCCATTTCAAAACTGTTCGAATGCCAAATGTTTACCTGCTGGGTTCCCATGTTATTACCCAGTGGCCCACTGAACTGGGATTGGGATAATCTAATCTAATCAAATCTAATCCCGCTAATCCCCACTACGGAGCCACTCATTCAAATTTCAAATTGTCATCGATCATTATTCCCTGATCCATGATAGTTGCATTATCCATAAATAATTCCCAGACTACAGCTCAAATCCAGTGGCTGTTTGGTTAGGTGAAGGGATGAAGAAATCATCTTCGTCAACTTGGGGAGGGAGTCGTACCAATAGAACTGAGAAGGATGCCTTGGTGGATGTCCTAACATACCTATGGTCTGCTCATGCCAGCCGCAGCCCGGATCACCCTGATCAGCGAAAGAGCTTGGGCTGCGCAAACGTGGGTGGGAAAGGCTGCTGATTTGTGACAGCGTTTTGATCAATACACAGATATAATCACACCGATATATACAATATTAAAAACTCAAAACAACACTCAAACTCAGACAGAGTGACTACTTACTTACTTACTTTCTTACTTACTTACTTAATTACTTTCTTACTTACTTACTTACTTACTCACTCAGGCAGGAGTTTCTATTTTTTTAACCAAATGTTTATGTGTTCTCCAGACTCCAGATCCAGACTCCAGATGAGACTCAGATTCGAATCCAAACCCGCTCGAATGACTTTGATTTCACACGCAGCATCATGGTGATCATCAAAGATTCATCATCATCATCATCATCATCACCATCATCATCATCACCATCATCATCATCATAATCATCATGTGTTTCTTATTCACCACCATCAGCCCATTTGCAAGCATCTAGTCATCTTTCTACCCCTCTAGGTTTTTGGTATGCTTCGGTCCTTTGTGTGATAGCTGACATGATTCCCCCCAACAACATCCACTGAGGCCAACAGATTCTGAAATCTGTCATGCTTTGCAGAGCTTTCTGGAAACCGACGCTGCTGAGGCGAGTGAGCCCAGCCACAGCACAGGCACTGGTCACAGCCGGAAACGGAAAAACGCAGGAACGTAACTGAGATCCAGCAAAAAAAAGTAGCCGCTAGCTGCCACTCAGGTCCACTCAGGTTCAGTTGACTTGGCACTGCTGAAACTCCTCCTCATCATTCCACACCATCCTTTCCGTGATTCCAATTCTCAGTTTTTCCCCACTCCCCTATAAGATATGTTCTTCAAACATTCAGAGTGTGTGTGCCAAGTTATTGCAAGACAATCAATGTTGTTCAAAGGGCGCCAGGGTGAGAAGTAAGTTAAAGTTCAGACTCAGGCCAAATCATTAAATCATTGATTGATCTGATTTAATGATTTAGCATTAGCATTTAGCATGTGCGTTGATCTCAGCGGACATTTTGTCCAAACAAAACCAAACCAGACCCAATGGACGGACAGCAGCACAAGCGTTGAACTCAAGAGATTAGAGTGTACTGTACTGTAAAACAGTAACTAACAGTAACAGTAACAGTAACAGTAAGAGAAGAGTAAGAGTACACTGTCACACTCACACTCACACGGCATCACACACGCATAAGCAGGACAAACATACACATTTGCAGCATTTCCACATCTAGGACCTAGCAATATTTAGCACATAGCATGCAGAGACACAATTTCTTGCTTTTCTTAATATACATAGATTGTGACTGGACTGCGACTCTGTCCACACTGCCATGGGTGCTCGAAAACGCCCGGCTGCACGCTGTGCTGAAGGTGATGCCGATGCTGTTCTGGGAGAAGAATCTACTCTAGAAGCAAAGCCTTTGGGAGATCAAAGTACGGAGAACCCCCCTACAACACCTAGCAAGAAGCCAAAGCCTAGAAAGAAGAGAACAAAACAAACAGTGACACAGCCCGACAATGCAGACAAGGAAGACGTAGAACAGCCAAGCACAATCCAATCGGAGCCCAGTCAGCCCAGTGGTTCACATGAAGATCCTGCCAACTCACAGAAAGAAACCACAAAGACCCCAGCAGGTTCCTCAAAGAGACCAGCATCTGCATCAGCAAAGAGACCAGCTTCTGCAAAAGCAATGGCAAAGAAAGGCAATGATGACAGCAAACCAGCAGCAGCAAAAGAGAAAGCAGTGGCAAAACGGAAATCTAGGACCAAGAAAACCGATACAGAGAAACCGACAGGTGGTGAACCAAACCCGTTTGACATGCCACCCGATGCTGACCAGCAAAAGGTCAGTAGTTTTTTTCCTGCCAAAGAAAAGGAGGAGGAGGGAAACGAGCACCCAAACAAGGAGGGACAAGGAGATGAGCCAAACCAGGAACCAAATGAAGGCACTGATGAAGGAGAAGGGCAGGTTGCAAAGAATGACGGGGACAGCAAGTCATCGTCGACATCATCGTCTACTACAAAGCATTCCCATGTTCCTCTATTGGGAGAGTTGGAGGATGAGAGCGATATCATGTCTGGAAGCCCCTGTATTGTGCAGCCCGACCAAATCCGATCCAGGATTCAGATGTTTTCATTCCCTAGCAGAAATGTTCAGCGATTGAAAAAGCATTGGGGGATGGATGCTGTGACGAACTTAGACATCAACCTTTCGGATGCAACAGTGGTGAGCCTTTACTCTGGTCTAGGAGGTGCTGAAATAGCAACCACACTTCTTGGCCATGCAGTATCTGCTACGTTGACCCAATCAAATCCTGATGGCAAACGACCAGTACAGCCCTTGATTCCACAGTTTCTGCTGGCATGTGACCATTCCAATGAGTGCCAAAAGGTGCTTCGCTCCCATTTCGACCCTTGCTTATCCAATTGGAACTGGAGTGGGCTTTATCTTTTCGTTTGATGGGGACCCTGCAGATCTGCATATCATATCATTGTCATCGGCAGTCAATAACACTGAGTAATAAACTGACTATGTCCGAAATCCAAACCCTTTGCCCTTTGAATAGTTTCTTTCCATATGATGGTGTATTTCATACGTGATCTGCTGTCTGATTCTGCTGGCTGACTTTCAGCTCTGCAAGGAGAAGCCTCGCTACATCGTCAACAGCTTGGAGGAGTTTCTGGCCCCGGGAGCGCTGGAGAAGCTCAACGACAAGATCGCTGCGGAGAAGGAACGCTGTTCAGCTCTAGCTGCTTGGCTTGGAGGTGCTTAAGGCATAATTACATAACATGATACGGTATATGCTATGTCGGACATGTCATGACGGTCAGGTCCAGGTCACTGTTGATTCACTGTTGATTTTTACAACTGTAAATATATATATATATAATAATTTAATATATATATATATATTATTAACGTAAATGATTCGACGACTCACGAATCATAACCTTAAATCAACACTTATTGAATATGAATGATTGAAAATGAAATGTGACCAGAGGGCTTCAACTCAATTGGATAAGTGTCCTGTCAGAGTCAAGGACGGACCGATTTGAGTTTCATACAGTTTGTTGTCAATGTTATTTGTCCCATATGCAATCCAATGAACCATGAATGCCAAGGCTACACAATCTCGTGCTGCAAAGTCGAAGGCCGTCAAGAAAGACAAGGCCAAACTTCGCCAGGCAAGAGCCGCTGCCAAACAAGCCAAGAAGGACCTTTCTGAACTTTCCCAGAAATTGGTTCTCGAACTCGTCAACATGATTGAGGGTGAAGATATGTTGAAACCAGCTATGTCGCTTCACCCCACTTACGAGTACGAGTCGAGTGGTTCCAAGTCAGGGAGCCAGGGTGATACTGCAGAATCAGGGAATATTGGTGTACCTGACGTAGTTCCTAGTCTGCAATGAAAGTGTGGCCCACAATAATTCAGGTTGCAGGCAGTTGGCAGTTAGTAAGTAAGACGAATCGGGCACCAAAATTACCATAATTATAATTGAATTAGGACATGGAAAGATGGTGGTTCAATAATCCCTTGATACCAAAACCATGACAAATCTTTAATTCACGTCTAAAGTCGAAAGTCGTTCAACCCCCACGTTCAATTCAACCTAGGGGAACTTGATGATTGATGATAGTAGGATACCTCTGATTGTGACGGCTTACGACTTTTGGTGGCTTTCCTAGGTTGGCATGTCCGACATCGCCGCGCAGAAACTGCTGATACTGGTCGCTGGAAGCACGTGCACAGACTGGACTGATGAGGGAACGGCTCAGTGGGTGTTATGTCTTGTTTGTTTTTTGTTTCAAGTTTCAAAGGTTCATAACGACCAGGTCCCAATCCCAAATATAATTCACCAAAAATAATTCACCAAACAAGGGAATCAGATCCATCAGCTTGCAGGAAAAGGCAATTCCGTAATCACCACTGGGACACAGTTGCAGTTAAAGGTTGAACACGGTAAATGGATCATAATTGAAAACTATATTATTTATTCAAATTCCACAGTATAAGTCCATAGTGCCTAAGTCCACAAGGTTACAAGGTTCACATTGTTTTCATGAACGAAGTTATTATGTCGACTTCTGACCCCTAACCCTGGGAGGAGCAGCATGGGAAGCCAAAAAGGTTTTCTTGGAAAGTCCCTTCTTGCTTTTGTCATACTTTGCTGTCTGGTACGGCGGTGGAAACCAGTTCTTTTCTTGCACGAGTGCACGCGGTTGTTCAAGTGGACCGTTTTCGATGATCAAGATCTCCTATCGGGCTACGTTTGCCACTCCACTATCGTCAACCCAACTGAGTATGGATTCCCCATCAATAGGTCAAGAGCCTACTCAGCGATTCTACGGGACGATTGGGTTTTGCAAGTTGGGCTGGATCAGCTGTTCCGTCTCCACATCAGTCCTGGCCTTGATGCTGGATGCTTCTTCGCTGCCACAGCCGCCGAGGCGCCAAAGCAAAAACAACAAACACACAATCCTTCAAATGATGAATTGAAAATTGTATCATTACACTCATCTTCCTTCAAATGATGAATTGAAAATTGTATCATTACACTCATCTTCAACAAACGATTTCCTTACGGGTCTTGGTAGTGATCTGGTGAAAATAGATTCAAACATTTTTTCGGGGTTCTGATCCTGACGTGTGATTGTGTGTTTATTGGTTGTTTTCCGTGCAATGTTGGAGTGAGAGAGAACGCCATTTGTTTTTTTCACATCCCAGGTGGAAGAGCTGCGCCAGCAAATGGCGTTCAATGTGCCTCGATTGGTATTCACAGCTGATCGTTTGATCAGTCGTCGCCGGGTGGATGAATTGTTTCGGATTCGGAACGTTACATGCTTACATTACATTACATTATCATTGGCTCTAAAGGGGTATAGTTAATAATAACTATATATATATAATATTTATTATGAATATGATTCAATGATTATGATTCGACATATGGCAATGGTATTATACGATTACTTTTGTATACAAGATAAAGATACATGTTACACTCGAGTCCAAGCGTTAGCTGAGGCAAAGAAATCGATCCAGTGCGATTGGCAGGACCTGCTTCCGGTGGCTGCGCAGATGAATCTCAAGGCGGCCTTGAAGTTGCAGCGTATGCAACAACTTCTGAAGAATTCTTCCGAAGTCGCCATCAATTTGGATCAAGATGTTGGTGTCCAGGACAGAAGTGTGTGTGAGGGGCGGACCTAATAGATTCAATAGATTCAGATTCAGATTATTACTATTCACAATCAAGAATTCAGAATGAATAAACAAACTGAAAGGAGAGTGAATGAGAATGAGAGTGATGTTTTTTCAACCAAAAAGAGCTAAGCCGTGCCGTGCCACTAGTAGTTCCATAATTTGATTTGTGAAGACGCACCTCCCGACCCGACCCCGTCACCTACCTCCGTGCTCTCCCTGTCTCTCTGTGTCCTAGCTTGAACGTTTTCCCGGAAGTTAAAAGTTGTTGCTGTTGACTGGACTGACTGGACTGGACTGGACTGCACCGACTGGACCTGGACCTGACCTGGACTCGGACATTGACAGACTACTTCATGACAATAGCAGTGATAGAGAGAATCAAACCATGAAAATTGAATCCCTTGGATCTTAGCCTTGACATGACCGGATTTGGATTTGACAACCAATATCAACCACTGTCACTGTCACTGTGGGTTGTTGTCTGACTAATTTAAGGTTAAGGTTTAATTCTTTGAGTCTGAGTCGTCTGAGTCTATCTGATTTTCTGTTGTTGAATTTGGATCTGAGTCTCAAAGATATTCAAAGACTGAGAACGGAATGAAGACAATGTGAGGAGCACTTCGGAGCAGTTGCGCCAGTATTGCTGGCCTCAATCACATATCTTTGGGGCGTCTTAAGAGGACGCCCCTACACTGCCTCAGTGTCCTGGATGAACTATTTGAGGGTGCTGTATGGAATAAATAGTGAACGATTGTGATGTTGACATGACATGACGACGATGATGATCATAAACCGTGATGATAAAACAATTCATGCACCAGAATTGCACTGGCACTGGAATCTGGAAGTTTGAGAGTAAAGACAACCAAGCACCTAAAATCAAGACCGGGGAATTTAGTAGAACCGACAGGTAGCAGGGTTTACATTTGGGTTTTGCCCTGAAAAGATTGAATGTGGTTTATGCACACACACAGAGATCAGAATTGGGTAGTTTGGTATGTAATGAAATATGCAACATGTAGTTAGTATCTAGTCGTGCTGTGTCTGTAATCTGTAAGTAACTCTGTGTAACTATATTCCTCCGAAATTCCTCCCAGTCTGGCCCAGTCTCCTAGCCGCTAGCCCTGAGGAAATGATTGAGATGCAAGGTGTCCCGATCTTTCCTGATGCCCTCTTCGCATGTGGTGTGTCCCCGCTCTTCAACCACAAGGTCGTTTCTACAGCAGCTCTGAGGAAAATGGCAGGAAACAGCTTTAGTCAGCCCTGCATGACAGCTTTCATAGCTTTCGTGCTGTCTCACATGAAGACTAGGACGGCTTCGAATGCCACTATCGTGCCTACGGCTTCAACTTCAACCCGTGGTCAAATTGTTTACCGTGAGACCTTAGATTCAGAGAGTGATTCTGACGATGACGTTTCTGCTGATGAAACGGAGAGCTGATAAAGTCAGCACACCACAATGCCAGCTGAGGCTGCCAGCCGTGCTTTTTTTGTGCGATGGAAACTTACTGACTTGAACTGACCACACCCATTTGATTTGATTCTGATATATGTACAATAACCCCTATCATAAACCACCACTGCTGAGCTGGACTCGACTGACATCAGGTAGGAAGTACAGAGACTGAGCATGTAAGGCTTCAAGCAAGAAGACTCATCAATGGCCGGCCGGATTGCTCAACATTTTTGATTTCCGACCAAATACATCAAAGATCAAAAAAGTTTTCGGGAACTTTTTGTGCGCGAACGTGTTGCAAATTGCAAATTTTGTTTTGGTCTTATAGCTCCAAGGTTCTGAACCCAGCCAAGCATTTCTCCTTTCTCCTGTTGGTCGAAGTTAAGTTGTGACACTTGAACGGGCTACCACGACATATACCAAACACTGGGGCATTGTTTTTGCGGATTTCAGTTTTTGACATTCCAGTTTTCAAATTCTGAGTCAACAGTTTTCTTCTAAACATCACTTTGCCAAGCCAGCTCGAACCTACATGCAGGATGCAATGTCCCACTGGATTCAAGATGAGAAGGGATAGCCGGGATAGTTGTTGGCAGTTCTATTACATGATGCATGTTTTTCACATCAGTTTGGACTACAAAACAAACTACAAACCACATTGGTTCTGGGCTACATTCATTTTGCTTTAGGCTGTTGTGCGTAGTGCGTAGTCAGACTGCGTGCGACGCTTGCAATGGCTTTGATTCAAGCCGGCAGCGGTGATGATGCCAGTGAATCCCAACCTCAGCAGGTTTCTATGTGTCCTGCTCCGAAGGGAGGGACGGATACCCAGCAGTGTGTTGTCTGTGACGGTGAACCTTGGATTCAAATCGAGATAATCGAGAGCTTTCAAATTGGAAACAAACGATTTGACCGATGTGATGTGATGTGATGAATGATTAGACTCATACAATAGTTCAATTTAAAGTTTTAAAAAAAGAGAAACAGAGAGAGAGAGAGAGAGGGTGAGAGAGGAGAGAAAAAATGAAACTATAGTATGAATCTGAATATGAGTCATGTATACTTACTATTAACTGTGTCATCTAATCTGTGATGTGATGTGATGTGATGTGATGTTTGAACCTGAATCTGATTTGATTGGTTGTCACATAATGTAACTACAACTTGAACTGGAATTCCGGAGCCAAGATCTTCTTGGCGACACACCACCCTCAGGAATACACGGACGAAGACTTCGCAAGCCGCGGTGGGAAGCGGGTCACGAGGTATGCAAATCACTGTCCATGCTGCTCACTAGATCTGCGTAAGATCATGAACGCTGCCAAAGCAGATGATGCCGGAGAAGCAACAACATCCGGAAGCGCGAGTGGTGGGACAGGAGGTACCAATGAAACTTGTACTATCGTTATGGGTGAACCAGTTCTTCTCTTCAGTTGGTCAGTAGCAGATAGCTGTAGGGGTGTTGGTAGTTCTAGTCGGTAGCTGGATGATTGTTGGCTGCTGTTGATAGTTGGTTCGATTCGATTGGCGAATTAATACTCAGATTACTCAAGTCAAGCAAGTCAAGTCTAGTGCAGTTCACTGGCTGGCAGCTGGCTGGCAGTAAGAACTGACAGAAATAAACGAAACTGAAACTGAAACTGAAACACTCACTTTTTCCTGTCTACTGGACTGGACACTGACACTGATTCACTGATGACTAAGAACACAAACTGAGACAACAAGTGAGAGAGAGAGAGAGTTCAGAGCGGGGTGAGGGGTGGGGCTGTAGTGTCTACGTGGCATTAGCATCAAAATAGAAAGAGTGTATTTACACAACAACATTTATATGTATATATATATGTGTGTAAGACATATGGTATTATGGTATATATATATACAGTATACATATATGATATATATAAATATTTATATGATATATATATAAATATGATACATATGATATATATGATATATATATATATATAATGTAATATATATATTTATATATATTACATTATATATATATCGTTTTAAAAGAACACAACACAAAGTGTTTCAATATTCAAATCGCAAATCGCAAGCCATCAGGATGCACTTGCAACCAGTACCTGGTTACGGAAGCTACAAACCGACAACCCAACGGAGTACAAGAAAGTCTTCAAGGAGTTCAAGAACAATGTGCCTGATGAGAAAGGAGGCCGATCCAAGAAGAGAGTTGGTTGGAAACCTCAACAGCTTGTGGTTTGCAAGAGCCACGAGGCAACGAAACAATCCAGGTGGGCCGGAAACTATGAAGAGATGCGCTTTGGCAGGTACCTGCAGTACTTCACTGGTGACGAATGTGACCCGGAAGACAGGATGACTGATTCTGAAGCCAGAATCAATTGGATGAAAGAAACAAAACACAAGATCAAAGTCTACAGCCACAAGAAGCAGAAACATGAAGTAGTTGAAGTAGTCTCAGTTGAAGTGAAGCGTACCCGACATCAGGAGCAGATCGGAGCTGAAAAGTCAACGGCAACACAGGTGACTGAACAGGTGAACAATGCTACCGATCAACAAGTGTCACAAGCTGTTACCAGAGTCATGGCCACCTTATCTGAGAGCTTTGAAGATGATATGTTCTCAGAATTTCGGTTGCAATGAGAACAGCACGGTCTTATAGACCCCTTACTTCACTGTAGGAGACATACTGCAACTTTACAGTCGTACTGTTTGGATGGCTGACTACCTGGTTTCATTTTGGAGCTTTGACTGACATGAAGTGGAATGTATGTTTATTGTATTCCTGACTTTCCTGTTGTGATTTGTGATACCCACCCTTCCTCCACATACACCTACTACCTACCTTGCCCACAGAGCACCCAGGAACCATCCTTGAAATGGATGGGAAAATTCATGAATGAAGACACGGCCATTGATGGCGAAGGTGATGGCGGCAACGGCAAAAGGACTGTTTTTATTTATTTATTTGTGTTTGTTTGTGTGTGTGTGTTGGCTGTTGGGTGTTGTGTGAAGAATTGTGAACGCTTGCCAAGCCTGGCCTAAGCCATATCGTTATGAACACCATGACGACATGTTCCCTTTTGTTCTCATACTGGAACTGAAGCATCATTGTAGAGAATGAATGACGTGTAAATATTGAGCATTTTGAAAATTTGAAATTGAAACTGGAACATACTTGTATCTTGAAGTTTTGACTTGAATCTAAAGTCTTGAAGCTAAAAAACACTTGAACCTTGAGAATCTCGAAAAGTTCAAAAATAAGATTGAGAATATTGAGTAGCTTGATGAACTGATGATGATGCTGCTGATGATGATGATGGATGATGATGATGATGATGGTGATGATGATGGTGATGGATGATGATGATGATGATGATGATGATGGATGATGATGATGATGATGATGATGATGAATGATGAATGATGAACGATGAATGATGAATGATGACAAGTTTCTGATGATGGCTTTGATGTTTATGGTGATGATACTGTGATGTGACTGATGTGATAGAACAAATGATGTTGTGAGGGCCCGGACTTTTTGCACATTCATTTTTTGACATTTAAAACCCGTTCCTGCCAGGAAGAAAGCGAAAAAGCCCACGAAGAAAAAGGAGACTGACATAGCCACAGCAAAGCTTCGATCGGCAACCAAGGTTGTGAACCAGCGCAAGCTATTGGCAGCACTCTTCAAGGACACCGAAGAGAAGCTACAGGCCGGGCCAGCTGGAGATACATTGACACATGATGACACAGCCCTAAATCCCAAATGATCAGTGGGTGGTTTTATGAGATCACCACTGTCAGTGTGTTCTGAAGGGTGTTGATGTATTCGACATTTGAAGGTCAAAGGTCGTCATAAGTTGGATCCAAAATCAACTTGATCGTTCTAAATTGTAGTGAACATCTTGCATTTAAGTTGGTGCTTTGTAAGAGTCAAGTTCAGGTTCAGGTGTACTGCAGGTGTACAAGATACGATACAGATATATCATATTTATCATATATAAGAACAGTCTGAAAAGAATAGAATCAGAACACAGAACATCACAGTCACAGATGTCGGAGCACTGGCAACATTGACATGGAGTGTTGTTGAATCCTCAATAGCCTATTCCCAACAATGGCCCAACAAACCATCAGCTTCTTTAGGCGTGGTATGGCCAACACAAAGCCATGGTCGACAAGACAAAGGAGCTCATAGAAAAGGGTGTCAGTGAAGAGAGGCTGCTGACTGACAATGAGGCCCTTCAGCTGAATCTTATTTTTATATCCTATATGTTATATCTTAGTATGAAGTTTAAATTCTATCTTGATTCCTATATATATATATATATATATATCCAAATCTTAAATCTTTTATATATCTTAAACCGTATATTTTATATCTTAGGCCAAGCTTATCTTTTCCATCATCCATCACCATAGTGATCCGTAGCCCCCACCATCAATCTGCTTTGAAGATCGGACTATATAATGTTTGGCAGCATGCGCCAACTCTCCAACAATGATTTCTATGATTTCTATGACACTGACTGATGATCTCTCCCGACTCTCTCACTCACTTATCTTATCTATTTCTTTGTTATTCAAACTAACTACTTTAACCTCCTCCTCTACTCCTACTCTTACTACTCTTACTCTACTCTAATCTAATCTGATCTCAAATCTCTTCATCTCAGGTTTTTGGGCTGGATGACAATGCCAGTGTGGTCAAGATGATCTACACAATCTTGGCCCGGCATGAGCTTCTCGAACTCTTGAGCTACGGGATGCACCCTACGCCTGCCGAGACGACACCTACGCCTGCCGACAAAACCGAGATGACGTTGGACGAGCTCAGCAAAAAAATCGAAGAGAAGATCAACAAGGATCCCTTCATGACTGAGCAGGCCCCCAGCGTCATTTCGCTGAAGGAACTGGCTGACCCAGAGGGCATGTTCTCGGGATGTTCCATGGCTGCTGACATTCAAGACATTGAAGCATCCATGATGAAGCGGATTGCTAATTCCAAGACGGCAGTGGCGGCTCTCCGCCGCACCATGAAGGACACAGGGACAAGACAAAGACTCGGTATCGGGATTTTTGATTAGGGTCAACATTTGTCAGTCGAACTGTTTTTCAATTGCAAACATCAAACAAACTACAGGTACCAGCCTAGTAACATGATCAAATCATTATCAAATCATAGCAGTAAATAAATACTATCGGATATCGGAGACAGGGGCCAGGGGACTGACCAGGACGGACTGAAACAGGAAACAGGCAACAGGAATCAACACCAATGGTTGGTAACGGTTGTTTGATCATAATCATAGATAAGATTACATAACCTAATATATTCCAAGATCCAATCTATATCCAAAAGTTCAACAGATTCCTGTTCAACAGATTGATTTGACAACCGACAATGACAAAACCATTATCTTTCTGTGACCAGACTCCCATTGACAGGACTGCGACCAAATGGTCAAGTCAGTGCAAAAGGCTCGTCAGCGCTACCAAGACCAGTTGGCCCGAATTCTGGCAATGATTAGTCAAGCTGCCTATGTTTTCTAGTGTCATTTCTGTCATAGCCTAGCCTAGTGCATTTTTTGTCCTTGTTTGTTACTTCTGATCATAGTCATAGTTTAGTCAATCAGACTCAGTCACGGGCCAGTCGTCGAGTCAATGTGATGATAATCTAATCTGATGGATGAATCCGGTCCGCCGCTATCTGAAATCTGAAATACCATAGCCGATTCTCTTTTCATGGCATTCTTTTCATGAGAGTAGATTGTGAAACCAGGCTTGGACTTAGACTTTTGACTTTTGAACTTTTGGTTTGGGATTTTGGGGTTGACCGTCAACATGCCTGAGGAAGCACCCAGACTGGCAAAGGCACAAATGGGCCTAATCTTAGTGGGCGGCCGAACCTAAACAACTTGGATAAGGATGATCCCGAAGTGCTACGAGCCTACAAGAACCTTGGTTCAATAAACAAGTACACTGCAACCTGGTGTTTGCCCGCCCTTAATTCATTAAGTTGGTTGTGACAACTTTGATGAAGTTAATACCCCATTGCTCTGTTAGATTTGATTTCAATCCATAGACAAGTCACAAGTCTGACAAGTAGAAGTTAATTTTGAAGTTATTATGAATGAAATGAAATGAAATGAAATGACAGACTGACAGATTCTGAAAAAAATATTATATCATATCATATCATTCCATTCATTATCATTCAATCAATATTCGATTCCCCTGGTGAAGATAAGTTGAAGTTAAAAGGGATCAATCAATAATTATTCAGTTTTTCCATTCCATTTCACCACCGACCCTATCATGATTACTGATCACTATCACCACTGATCACCGATCCCAATGGAGATACATTGGCATTATTGTAATAATCCATTCAAGACCTGGCAGATTCAACGGAATCGGAGTCGGAGTCGGCGGGTGCGGAGTGTGGGGGAACTGGGGAACCATGATCCCTTTAATTGATGATTTTGATTGAAGATATGATATGTTAATTATGTTGTTGAATTATTATAATATAATATTATATTATAATATAAAAATATAAAATAATCATATCGAATTCCGTCGCCTAGATTCCGTAGACTACTAATACTAATACTAAGTGCACAGCATAAGTATACTATACTGTGGTGTCTTAGTAGTTAGCACCTAAGATTCTGGGATTCGGGATTCTGATTCTGATGGGATGGGATCTTTTTTTGCACTGCCTTTTGATGAAAAATCGAAAATCGAAGTTTATATACCCCTGCAACTTGGAAGACAAGTGGTGGGTGAACATCCGGGCTGTAGACAGCAGGTAAAATCCACACGATTGGGGGCTTAGAGGCGTAGCCAGGTGGTTTATAGGTAATAGATCACTCACTCTCTTGACTCAGACACTGAGTGGAGGTGGTTGAAGATTCAGATTCGAGATTCGGTTTGATTTCAAATTCTTCCCCGTAACAATTCTGTACTATTAAAACACCAACACCATCTGTTTGGGTCCAGACTGGGTCCAGAATGTAACATTTTTTTGAGGCAATGTGTTTATTGTGATGATGATGTCCATGTGTAACTGTGTTAACTGTGCAAACATGTGCTCACGCACTATTCGCCGTGGTCACAAATTCAAAACACCAAAAAAGAAACAGTTTTCAATCACTTTTGGGCCGAGGCAAATCAGCCAACTATTTGAGATGAGGGTGGTGACAAACCTGGAGGAGGACGACAAGGACAAGCAGAGATTCCCGGTGATCATCCGCAAGGGCAGAAATTCCCTAAGCATGATGTGTGGCCACAAGGAACCGACCAAAAAGTTCTTCACGACTTGCAACACAAGTTTTGTGAACCAACTGCAGACGCAGTCTTTGACACGACCAACGAACCTTGCTTGTGTTTTATGTTTATAGCGTGCGGTTGACATTTTTTTGGGTGCGACATATTTTGCTCATATCATTTTGGTTTTTGAACATTTATAGAACGAGCTTTCAGCCCTTTACACTCATCCCGTTTCAGGTCAGCTGTGAAGACTTGTGATAGCTCGGGCTGTGAAGATCCTGTAGCTGCTGCAGCAGTGCTTGAAATGAAGACCAGGCTCTTCGACCTACTGCCTCCTGACTGGAAGAAGGAGACGGAGAGAGGGTCAAACAATGAATGACTGAGTGAACATGAGAGATATCAGAAACATCCCCTGAGTTTCCTAGAAAAAAACAGGGCCCAAAAGTTAAAAAGTTCCCCAAAGTCCAAGATGAGAGAAGATGATCCCAAAGAAAAGAAACGGAGTAGTACGTACATTTATTAATGAAATTAGACTCAGACTCTTAGTCTTGACTGGTCTTCACTCAACTCTTCACTGACGACAGGAGACATGCTTTGTCGACGAGGAGACCCTGGAGGTGCATGCGAAGAAGAATGACTTGGAGCAAGGCATGACCGAGTTGAGTGCACTCCATTTGTGCGGCGCAAAGCAAGGTGTGACATACTGTGGTATTGAGAACTGCGCTTTGCCCTCGCTTCGTCTTCAGGTTCCCCGGTCGAACATCACAACCCGTGTTTCTGATTCTGTTTGGGGGTTCGGGTGAGTTGAGCTTTGGCTTGCTTGCATTCCAATTCCCATTCCCATGACATGATCCCCATTCCCATTCCCATTAGGTCGTTAGGTCATTAGGTCCTGATAGGTCAGGTCGGACGTGACGTCGTTGTCCCCATTCATTAAATTAACATAGACCATCATCATCAACAATTTATTTAGTTTCATTTAATCATTTAATTAGTATTACTAATTAATTACTATATTTACTGTACTAACTCCCCATTATCAATTTAACTTTAAACAGCACACAAAGAACATAAATATAAACATCAACAATGTGGATCCAAGACTGTGCGGTACAAATGTGGATCCAAGACTATGCGGTACTGAGGTATCAGGGTCAAAGATGGTCGTGATGGCTTCAGTCGCTGAGATCATGGAGCACTTTGGTGTGAATGGCTTGGCAGAGGCCCGGGATCGATTCCAGTCTTTGGCAGCTGCAGATTTGCCCGATCCAGCCTCTGGATTCTCGTCTGGATTACAGGGTCAGACAGTGACACATGTTGTGGACGGACATACATACATTCGTGGACGAACAACCCAATAATCAGACTCAAAGGACTGACTTAACTTGGTGATAAGTGATATCACCGCATTCCCAAATAGTAGTTTCCCACCCGCACACACACAAACTCCTACAAAAGAAAATTAATTACTTTACTTCGTGTGATCCCCACCATGACATTTATATATTTTCTTTACTGGCAAATCTTCTGGCATTCTATCTGACATATCTTCTGGCATTCTATCTGGCATTCTATCTGGCATATCTTCTGGCATTCTATCTGACATATCTTCTGGCATTCTATCTGACATATCTTCTGGCATTCTATCTGGCATATCTTCTGGCAGATGTTCTGGCATTCGATCTGGCATTCTATCTGGCATATCTTCTAGCATATTATCTGGCAAATCTTCTGGGATTCTATCTGGCATATCTTCTGGCATTCTATCTGGCATAGCTTCTGGCATTCTATCTGACATATCTTCTGGCATTCTATCTGGCATATCTTCTGGCATTCTATTTGTTGGCATATCTCATGGAATTTTATCTGGCATATCTTCTGGCATTCCATCTGACATTCTATCTGGCATATCTTCTGGCATTCTATCTGCCCGTTGAGGTCCAGCAGTGCACGGTTGAGGTCCAGCGGTGCACACTGCGCTGGGCAAATCCCAGGTTGAGGTCCAGCGGTGCACACTGTGCTGGGACCTGCACACTGAGCTTGAGGTCCAGCGATGCACACTGAGCTGGGCAGGTCCCAGGTTGAGGTCCCAGTGCACACTGAGCTGGGAAGTTGGCAAAGAGCTTGGCGAAGAGAGTTGGCAAAGAGCTTGGCGAAGAGTTGGCAAGGCGGAAGTGGAGGTGGAAGTTGATGCAGACATGGCCGAGGAGAAACTAGAGGGGGAGGAGGCGGCGGAGGCGGCGGAGGCGGAGGAGAATGGAGAAAATCTAACAATCCTCACCTGGCAGGTGGGGAAGAATGTTGTGTCTGATGATGGCATGATGGAACTGTTTGATTTATGGAGGTTCATTTGATTAGTATTTGTTTAGGATTAGGTTTGTTATGACTGCTCAATTATGCATTCTAATGCTGCGTGCTTCTTCTTCTTCTTGCCAGGTCAGCTTCACACCCTTTCCGCTGGATATGTTCGAACAGGGGACATCCTCTATACGCCCATTGGGTACATGCTGTGTGAGAAATGCATGGTGGACACATCCTTGAGCATAAGGACTGGGCTTTGGGACGGGACGGCGCAACGGGACAACAACTCAACAACCCCCCCTGGACCCGGACGAAGCAAAGTTTAACTTTTCATTTTTTAAAAATCGAATTATGGCATCATTTAATGATATAATGGGACCACTATGAGAAGATGATAGCGCGACCGGCGCGACCTGTGTTTCCTCCATATCTACTGGAAAACAACCGTAGCTTTTTCAGCATAGTATTACTGATTATACCTGATCAGATGACCAGAGGGTAAAAGACAATCATCCAGCCCTGCCTAGGTCAAAACTATGTCCACTTTGTTTATTGTTTCATTGACAAAGGCCAAAATAACTGCAGAAGTGCCATAAATACCGATAAAGTGCCATGAATACCTGTAGAATTCCTACTCTAAAAATTGTACACTTTCCAGTGATCAAAATTCCACCAAAACAATAGGCACTAGGCTTTCCAGGTACTTTTTTGTTCCCCCAAACAAGTACATGTGTGCAGGATGATACCTTTGGTGCATTCTCCGATGAATGTGTACTCAATGGCAGCGGTGATGGGCCAAGCCAAGATGAATGCGGGGGCAACTCTTCTTTGCCACATCCTCAATGTGGACGAGTTGGAGCTTCCGGACTTTGAGGCTGTGAGGCGAGACCGAGACAAGACTCCCACCATCAATGGTATCCCTGTGAAGGAGGAGCATGAGGAGAGCCTGGAGATCATGGAGAAGTTCGCGGACACGGTTCTTGATGAGCCTGATTTCTATGCTGGTGATGGTGATGGTGAAAACCTTCCCCTTAGCCAGGTGGAACAGCATGCCGCCTCCCCGAATGATGCCTGTGGAGCCCTTGATGATGTTCCCAAAAAAGCACCTGAAGTCCCTGATGCCCAGGAGGGGATGCAGATTGCAGTGGCAGAGAGCACGCAGGAGGAGAAGGCTGGCCATGTGGATGAGACGCAGAATTTCAAGAAGCTGAAGACCGATGTGGGTGACAACAATCCAGACACTTCGGCAGAGATGGCCGACGGTGACAAGAAACATGAGCAACCGCAGGTGGCCAACCAGCAGGGGCAGGCCGAGGGTGACAAGCAGCCGATGGCCGACGGTGACAAGCAATCGGAGCCAACGCAAGTGGCCGAGGGTGACAAGCAGCCGATGGCCGACGATGACAAGCAACCGGAGCCAACGCAAGTGGCAGAGGGTGACAAGCAGCAGATGGCCGACGGTGACAAGCAACCGGAGCCAACCCAAGTGGCCGAAGGTGACAAGCAGCCGATGGCCGACGGTGACATGCAACCGGAGCCAACGCAAGTGGCAGAGGGTGACAAGCAGCCGATGGCCGACGGTGACAATCAACCGGAGCCAACGCAGCCGATGGAGGGTGACAAGCAGCCGGAGAGGACCGGCCGAGGGAGACCCAAAAAAAGACCTGCTGAGTCCAAGGACAAGGCGGACAAGGACAAAAAAGAAAAGAAGGAAAAGAAAGAGGGCAAAAAAAAGGCTGATGACAATGACAAGTCCAAGCAGCGCAAGCTTGCTGGGTTTTTTGCACGCTAGCAAATGGCTGGCACTTGGAGTTGGCAACATGCCAAAAGCATCGCTAGGGGTGGCGGTGAAATGTGAAAAAAAGTGAGTGTGGAAACGGGGTTTCTTTTTTTTGAAGAAGCGTTTTACCGTTTAACATATAGGTGTAAAACGCTTGTTGCATTCTGGACCCTCACATGGTGCGTGAAAACGCTTGTTCAGTCCCCGAACCTAACCAACAAGCAACTTAACAGGCCCATGGAAATAGATGATTTATTTATGATTTATATAGCTCTTAAACATGGTGATTTCCCAGTTCGCTACGTAAAAAAAAGAGAGGGTAACATGTCATAACCCCAGGGTTTTTCGGAGCGAAAGTTTCTGGGGCGTCATCCCAGGTGGTCCTGAAGTGAAGCCTGGGAACCCGCTGAGTTTCAAAGACATCCGGAGATTTCTACTACCCGGAGTCACTTGGGACGTCGAACATGGTTTGGGTCCTGGAGATGACTGTCTCAAATGAAACTTAAGTAAAGTTAACTAGGGTTAGTATTTCCATTTACTATGGTAGATATAGTTATATATTTATGATACAAATGGTTAACTAAAACTATCATTGGATTGGTTTATGAGAAAATTTTAACCGGAAAACCCCAGGATCTTAATGGGAAAATCGATGGTTTCCGGTTAAGATTTTCCCGTGAAAACCAATCCATTGAATCTATGAAACTATATTAAACTGCAGAATCTAGATGAATCTAGGAGTCTAGCTAGTCACAAACATGTTTTCTTTCATGTTCGGAGTCTCTTTCAGATACCCCCAGATGTTTGGTAAAGGAATGGCGTGGGCAGAAACCAAAGTTTTTTGGGGGGAGCTTTTGTGTAAAGCGCGCGGGTATCATCCCCACAATCACTGGAGGCAGCAGATGCTTGGTAACTCATCCCACTAGGATTGACTCGGAATATGGCAATCAACCCACAGCCAGAAGCCATATTTTTCAACCAGTTATAAGCCAGTTATATATCCAGTGTTATAACCCAATATATCCCAATATGGCTTAGTATATCCACTAAGTTTTTTTTTTATATATCCCAATATGGCTTCATATATCCACTAATTAAGGTTTTTTTTTTAATCCCACTGGTGAAGACTAGGGTCATCACCTACTTACTTCGTGGTCACCAAGGATATCGCCAACATCTTGGGCGGTAACGCTTGGCGCTCAGATGTTTGGGTACAAAAATTGCTATAAGGCATCCCAAAAGGTAAGATCTGGTTGGTGGTTTGGAACCATGGAATTTTGAATGACTTTCCAGAAACAGTTGGGAATGGAATTTCATCATCCCAACTGACCATAACTGACCTATATACTCATATTTTTCAGAGGGGTAGGGCTCAACCACCCATTCGGGATTCCTAAAAGATACCCTGTGGTAAACGTTTACATAACTATGGAAAATCACCACCATTTTCCAGCTGGGTAAATCCACTATTTCGACTGGGCCATGGCTTCAATAGCTATTTTGACATAACCAGATGATTTCTGATGGGTTTGTCAGATAGGCTACAGTACCCGAGGTCCATCCACGTGGTTTTCCACCGTTTTCTGATGGTGCGACATGGTGCGACACTACCTGCATGTTCAGACACACACACAAATCAGAATCCCCATTTGTCCCTGCCTTTAAACTTAAAATCTCAATGAAATCTTCATTAATCCCCATGTATCTCATCTTTTGTGAGAAATGAGAACTTGATGGCGGCTGCATCGGCAAATGCCGGCGGTTTGGTGCCTTTTTATTCCCACGCATAAACTAAGTCCTCGATTAGTAAAATCGCTTGATATGCGGTTCTATGATAAACATATACTTATAATTACTCATATCCACGAGATACTTACAGCCCATAGGATCCATGTATAGTATATATGCTAACATTGGGGGTATATTGATGGTAAATGTTACCATATATAGCATACATGGATCCTATGGGTAATAGAATCTACAGCCTCAAGATTCTATGGCATCCGCTCAGCTCGCTGAGCCGAGGTTTGGGGGCATTGTGGTTTGATAATCAAGGCGAATGAGGTCAGGAGCCATTGGGAGCCAAAGGGACCCTGCCAGCGAGAAAGGTCAGTCTTGTGGATTTTGCCTCATTTTGCCTCTGGTAAACTAACATAACTATGGAAAATCCCCATTTTCAATGGGAAAATCCACTATAAATGGTCATTTTCAATAGCTATGTTAAATTACCAGAGGGTATTTCACGATGAGATGTGATAAAACTCCATAAAACTATATATAAAACTCCATGATTTACCCATGTTTTCCTATGAACATGGATGATTTTCCAGTTTGCCACGCAAGAAATTTTTTCGGAGGGTAACCACAAATCTGGGGCAGATGGGGAAGATCGCTTTTGTCTTAGTCAATTCTTTGGTGAGTCCTTGAAGCCAACTGGCTTCCAAGCCATGGGGGATCCTATGGCAGCCATGGCGCCGTCAAGACTGAAATGGTCCGACTTGGATTATTTTGGGGGTACCCTCTGGTTATGTCAAAGGATGGGAGGATGTTGGGAGGATGTTGGGAGGATGGGTTCGAACTGAGCGTTTGATGTTACCCTCTGGTTATGTCAAAATTATTGAAAATGGCCATAGAAACAGTTCATTTACCTATTAGACATGGTGGATCTTTCCAGTACCCCCAGAGGGAAACCTTCACGATTTACCCGAGAGCCCAGGATAGCCCAGGTGTGGGGCTGTCGTGACGACACCGTGTCTACTGCTTACATATGGGAACATGGCCAAACAATGTTCCCACCGGCTATATACAGTTGGTTTTGTCCCAAGAAAAAAGGACCATACTCTAGTAATCTCTAGTATACGTACCCCGAAAATTCCGGTCAGTGATCATTTTTGCCATTCAAATGGCTATCATTTGGGATATACGGCCTCATTACACATGATTCTCCCATTTTTTGGATGAGATTGACCCACTTGACCTGAAAGTAAACTGGTAAACCCAATGCCATAAACCATAAACCCCATAAAATTGGGGATAAGATTTACCCTCCAGTAAATTAGCATAGACCCTGAAAATCACCAATTTTCAATGAAAAAAAAGGTCTTCCAACCCCGATGACTGCCAGGGTCGAACTGTTAATTTACCAGAGGGTACCACTTGGTCATTTTTTAGGGAGGTGATGGCTGCCATGGCAGGTTTAGCAGATGATTTGGGATTCCATTCGCTCTTCAGAGCGCAGGTCTATCGTTTCCCCGTGCTCTACGGCAGATCTGCTACCCCTTTCAAGGACCAGAAAAAGGGCAATGGGTGGCTGAGATTTGTGCGAGACACCAGGAGTTATGGTGGATTTACCATCTGGTTATGACTAACATAGAACATAGCCATGGAAAATCACCATTTTTAATAGGTAAACCATCTATAAATGGGCCATTTTTACCATGGCTATGTTAGTTTACCAGAGGGTATATCAATTCCTGGCGGATTTATGGTGGATTTTTCTCGTGGAATCCATGGATTTATTGCTTCGAACATTCCCGTGGATTCTGGGTGGAATTCGGTCCGGATTTTGGTGGACAAAACCGATGGATTCCACCATGTGGGAGTTGGCTCCGGCGCGGGCGGATGGTTTGAAGAAGACTTTTGGTTCAGGATTTTAGTCACTGGTAAACGTTTCCATAACTATGGAAAGATCCACCATTCCACAATTTTTTAGCTGGGTAAATCAACGAACTAAATGACCATTGTTTTCCAGGCCGGGTAGTCATGTTGAACAATTTGGGTTTGTTTGAAAATCGGGTACCCCAAAATCCAGCGGTTTCATCATTTGTTCGCTCTGATTAAGACGATCGTCCGATTTCTTCCAGAAATGGGAGCATGAACGAATAATGAGGATTTTACCCAGTCATAACTAACACAGCTATTTTTCAGCCATGGCCATAGAAATGGTTGATTTTCCCTGAAAAATTGTGATTTTCCAGTTCGTTACCATCCCAAAGTAGGCTGATTCTTGTACCCAAAATGCTTGGCCTCTGGGGTTGTTTTAGAATTTGGTTTTAAAGGTTCATCATTTCAAAGCTATGACTGTCCAACAGGGTTTTTTCACCACCAGCTAGTCCTTGTTATATGGAACATATGCATACCTACATCATGTTACCCTCTGGTAATTTAACATAACTATGGAAAATCACCATTCATAGTGACATTTCCCATGAAAAATGGTGGATCTTTCCATAGTTATGTATAGTTATGTTAGTTTACCAGAGGGTAAAACAATGTAAAACATCATTCAAACTTAGAAACAAAAATTCACCTTGGAAGGTTTCCGAGTTTCCAACCATCCGGATGTTGTGGAAAATCGTCCACTGTCTAAATGGAGGTGTCCCTAGTCATCACCGATAACTTGGATGACGACTTGTTGGGTACCCCCCATGACTTGGATGTTGAAGCTCCAAATGCATTCAACACGTGGCCAGCAACTCAGCAACTCTCACAACTTGTCTGGTTGGTGATTTGGAACATGACTTTTATTTTTCCATATATTGGAAATAATAATCCCAACTGACGAACTCATATTTTTCGGAGGGGTAGCTTGAAACCACTAACCAGCTAAGTAACTAAGTATGATAATCAATGGGATTAGACCATATTAAACCATACTAACCATATATAGGGTAGGTTGAAACCACCAACCACCTTTAAAGGACAAGAAGGAAGCCCGTTTGAGACCGGTGATCGAGCTGGACTTCAACGTCAATGTCTTCGTGTCACTGGGATTTTTTTTTGGGCCGGGGGGTTCTGGAAAAAATACGGGGTATCCCCAAGGGTATCCCCAAGTAACCATGGCTTGAAGATTTTAATAATGCTAACATTTAGCGAGTGACTGGATGCTTTTCTGGATACCAGCATTTTAGGAAAGCTCCAAATATTGAGTATTGAACAGTGTTCAAAACCTTCTGTCATTCCATGAAATATGGGTTTCTTAAGAACCAAAAATACCCAGCTGGCTTGTGAGAATTCCCGTAGCAGATAGTATAACCATGCAAGATAACTGCGGTTGATGTTTCATCAACCATCAACCAAGCATCATTGATCATTTGTATTCCCATATGTTCATGGTTAAAAACTGAAATGAATGATGGTGAAATGCCATCCTAAATCCCATAGAATCAATCAATCAACAAGGCTTTAGCACCCCTTCGCAGCCACATCAGCCGCCGGCAGAGCCTTGATTCATCTTGGTGTATAGCTATGTAGTATAGCTAGGGTTTATGGTGATTATAACTATAGTATATATATATATATATATTGGGCTATTATTATTGGGTATTAACCATATAAATTTATGGTATAATTTAATTATGTTTATTGTTGTTGTTTTTTTCAACCAACAAACATCACTGGAGGGGGGCAACCACCTGGAATCCCAGTTATATGTTTGACGGTTGAACAAAACATATAGTAACTAGTTTGTTACAAACCATATACTGTATCATGACCTATACCCTCTGGTAATTTGTTACATAGCTATTGAAAATGGCACATAGAAATAGTGGATTTACCCATTAAACATGGTGGATTTTTCCATCGCTATGTTAATTTACCACAGGGTATATCTACCATAAACCCCACATTTAACCATGGTAGTGAATGATATATCGAACTAGTGTCCATTGGTACCATGGGTAAAATTGAGATAAATCCTAGTCACCATAGATTTTTGCCCTAGTTAACCTTATACCATTGAGACATGATCATTCATTAACTATATCTACCATAGTAACTAGAAATACGAACCCTAGTTTCAATAGATGGGTTTAAGGGAAACTCTTAACCGGAAACCATCGATTTTCCCATGAAGATCATGGGGTTTTCCTGTGAAAATTTCCCGTCAAAACCAATCCATTGATAGTTCACTTATGGGATTTTCCACTATATATAAATTAAATCACCATCTATTTTTTGGGGTATCCCATTTATGGAAACCCCCAGTTAACCTTCATAATCTCCATGACCGTGTCACCGTGCAGGCTGGACTTGTTGCAAAGTGCCTCCAACATGCCCACGACGCTCGGTTGATATGGGATCACGAAGGGCGAAAAAAAAGATGGACTTTTGGAAGGGGATGATAGCCACAGTCCGACTGACCATTTTAAGGATGAAAATCCCATGGTGAAAATATGGTCCACGGTGGAAATCTATGAACTTAACGAAAATCGAGAGGACTGAGCTGACAAAAAACCCGTGGAAAAAGTTGGAGAGTCCACCTGATAGCGTAAGACGTGGAGATTTCAACTGATTTATCCTCTGGTTAATATATATATATGGTTAATATATGGTTAATATATGGTTAATATATGGTTAATATATGGTTAATATATGGTTAATGATGGTGAATGATGGTTAATAATGGTTACCATCTAGTTATGACATTCACAGTTTGCCATGGAAAGATCCACCATGCTATTAATAGGTAAACCATCTATTTCGATTAGGGCCATCGAAATCCCATGGCGAACTGTTAGTCATAACCAGAGGATAATGGTAAACAAATAGAGATTTTTTACCTGACTTAATGAGTTAATGCATGACAAATGGGGATTGAACTGATTGAGGAATTTGGGAGGTGATCGATGTCTATTTTCCCCATTGGTAAATCCACTTTTGGGGGCGGTCTATATTTTTTTCGAAGCAAATCCAAGTTGGATTTGGTCGAACATTGAGATTTGGTCGAAAACCCGGATCAAACCATCCCATTTTCATGGGGGAAACCAAGGAGATTAGCAGATCATATCTGGGGCTCCACTGTGTGTGCTACGCTTTCTTTCAACCATCTTTTGTTCCATGACACCTGGAAATGTATCTATATCTATATCTATTTCTAATTATATATGTAATTATATATATATATACGTATATATATATATCATATATCTATATCTATATATATATATATATGTCTGTGTATATATATGTATATATATATATACACACATATACATAATTATATATATAAGATGTATAGACATATATATATATACAATATGTATACAGTCTGAATACATATCATATATATTAATATATATTATATATATATACAATGTGTGTATGAGAGGGTAGTGTTTTTTCAGATCGCCAGCTGCCAGGATTTTCCTCTCGCAGATCGGCGTGGTGGTCCACCCCGAAACCAACGACATCTGTATGGTGAAGCGAATCCGTGGTGGAGTGCCTCGCGCAGAATCCGGAGTTGGGACTTGGGATGTGTTTTTTTTGGGGGGAACATGGGGGAATCAAAGTTTGGTGCCATATTTTTGATGTTTTCCATAGTTATCCCATGTAGCTGTTGATGTTGTTGTATATTGTTACATCGAAATGAGTCCCATTTTCAAAAGGGGGATCGTGATACTCTGGAATTTTGGGGTATTTTCAGACAAAGACACATTGTCTGGTTGGTGGTTTGGAACCATTTTTTATATTTCCATATATTGGGAAGAATTATCCCAACTGACTTTCATATTTTTCAGAGGTGTGGCTCAACCACCAACCAGTTGTTGTTCGTTTTTGCATCCTTGGTTGGTCCCTTTTTCCAACAGCCTTGCTGGTGGTGGTCCCTGTGGTGGTGATTTGCTCATCATTCTGGTTTGCCTGTGATCATTTGTCAATCATATTTGGTCATGATTTGGTCATGATTTGGTCATTCCCAAGCATATTCCCATGATTGTCCACCTCCAGAATTTAACGAAGTGGTAGACTACACCATGCCCACCTCAGAAACATCTGAAGCTTAATTAAAACTGACCAAAACGACTTTTTCGCCTCACATTTCCAAGATTTACCCTTCAGAGTTCCAAGAATTTCCCTGAGATTTCCGCAGCTGGGAAGGTGCTGCTGAGAGAGAGCCATGAAGGTGGACCTCTGATCATACAGTTCCTGGGATGAGAGATGTTTTTTGGGTGCTTGAAAACCATGACAACATGGAATATCATTGTGGAATTTAAAGGATATAATGAGACCTAAGACCTAAGATTGGTGCTTAAACCATGAAACAAAGAATAACCCATAGATTCCTTGTCTGTAGATATGGCTCACGGCCATTTTTATCGTATGGCACATGACCCACAAGTCGTTAAACCTGTGAGGTGTCAAATCTTCCGGATGTCTTGTCCTGACGGGATCATGGGGCCATATCCAAAGATCTCCTACCAATGGCCCAGTCGAAATACCCTCTGGTTATGTCAAAATAGCTATTGAAAATTGCCATTGAAATAGTGAGTTTTCCCATTAGAAATGATGATTTTCCATAGTCATGTTAGTTTACCAGAGGGTAGTTGATTTACCCATTAATAGCATGGTGGATCTTTCCGGTTCGTTGTGTCAACGTAGAAACCAGGCCGGGTAATTTTAAGGTGGCTTTTTTGGGTTCACTTCAGATGTTTCCTGCCGAAATCCAGGATATTGCTGTCGCCCTTCAATGTGTTGACCCTCAACAGGCGCGACGCCACGTTGGAGTTGCGGATAGGTGGAATAGGTCCCTGGTAATGACTAACATAGCTATTGAAGCCATGGCCCAGTCGAAATAGTGAGTTTTCCCATTAAAAATTGTGATTTTCCATATTTTTCCATAGCTATGTTAACGTTTACCCAGAGGGTAGGTGGAATGTCTAAAAATCAAGGTGGCCACCCTTCAGAACCAAGGATTTCAACAAGGCTATCTCCCAGGAAATTGTGCATTTGAGATTGGTAAAACTGATGATTCCCACTGGATCCCATCGGATAGCTATGTTCAGACCCCAACTTGTTGAATTCCTATGAAGTAATTGGGGTTACTATAGGTAAGCTGATGTGCAACGCAACCGGTAGTACCCGGTAGTGCAACTGGCCTTTATGGAGTTTTACTCGTCGATCAATCTACAGGAAGAAAATCTAACTTTTCCCAACAGAAATCAAGGATTTTCCATGGAATTCCCTGAGCAATTCTGGAACTCCTAGAAATCTCTTGCAAATCCCTCAAAACTTCCGGAACTCCCTTGAAATTTCTGAGAATACCTCAAGAATTCTCAGAAATCTCTTAGAAATTCCTCAAAATTCTGAGAAATCCCTTCGAAATCCCCTAACTTCTTCGAAATCCCTCAAAAACCTCACAAAAACTCTCCCTTTTCGGACCTTCCCTGACCTTCCCCGACGTCCCGTTGTGGCACGCCGCGTGCGCCGTGTCAGGGCCTTGCTGGCAGAGGCGGTGACGGAGGTCCTGGCGGCGCCAGAGATGCGCTGGAGCAAAAGCACTGCGGTGCGCGCCTTCTTCCGAGCCTTGGGAGCAACACCGAGGGATCCCCCCCTCCCAGATCCGGGAACTGAATGGGATATGGCTATGGGTCAATACCTATAAGTACCATTAGTGGGTTATTCACATCCATTTTAACCCAGCTATGAATTGGGGTGAACAGAAGGTACCAGGGTTTTGACCCCCATATGGAGGTATAGGAAGTTTTTTTTGTGTAAGTATACTGCTCTTTTTTTTGATATTGATTGATTTTTGCCATAAAGAAACTGTATAACTATAGGGTTATAGCATGTTATAGCTGACATAGGATGAATTTGGGTTAGTTGCCCTCTGGTAGACATGGCTGGGAAATCCCCAAAACGGAAGGTTTATAGCCAGGAAACTTATTTTCTTTACACTATATCCCATAGGATCCATGGTGCTGGTATATATGCTAACATTGGGGATATATTGATGGGACATGTTACCACATATGGCATACATGGATCCTATGGGTATTCCATTATAGTCCAATGTACAGAGCCTCGAGACTGGAGATTCCCGGGAACCAGAAAAGTCTTGGGTCTTTCTTTCTCTATCCAGTGGTGGACGGAGCGCTTTGAAGCTAGGGCTATTCATATTCCCAGCCATGGACAGTTGGAGCTACTTAGAATTTCCCACGGGCGATCGCTGTCTTGTCACTTTTTTCTGGGTGTTTTATATTCCCATATCTTGGGGAATTTTCACATCCATTCACCAGCTATGACTTAGCGACTTAGAATTAGGGATAATTAGAGTCGGGTAACTTAAGACTAGCATCATATAGCCAAAGAAAGCCCGATCACCATCTTCTAGTTTTCAAGCCCAGTGATGTTTGATAACATTTATGATAACGGAAGATGATCAAGGCCCCTTTTTTTTGTATCTCGATGGCATCAGGACATGCGAGATTGAAACCTTCCAGGCCCGCGAAGAATTGTCTGGCAGCAGTCGTAAAAACCAACAGTATGATCAGTATGAGATGTACTGTAGATTTTACCGGTTTTCAAATTTTGGGGCATGGTATGGCTCATAATTTGAGGGGAGCCATGAATTTTAAGTTTTCTATGGAACATCATTTAAATTTTGCTCCATATCCATTAATCTAGTAGGGCAATGCGAAGTTTTCCTCAGTACACATATGTTTTAATAGGTACATGATCTACAATTTATACATCGGGTGTTCCGATGTTGCCCAACGATTGTCCAACACCCCACTTTTTGGGACACTCCTAAGGGGCACCATGGTCGCAAAAACCCCTGAAAAAGAAGAGTTTGTCTTATCGCGTGTAGAAATCGTCTGTAACCTTACATGTGCGTGAGCTTTCCCTTCAATTTTTTTGAATAGATCCCAGAACATGGTTTTGCTTAGTGTTGCTTTAAATGACGACCTTGTTTGAGCGGCTGGAAGTCAGTCACTAGCGGAGAGCTTCTGGTGGAGTTCTTTTCACCAGCAGTGCCAACGAAACCATCGCACGGCCAGGTAAGGTCGTATCCATATGTGGAGCCCTATTCCATCTCAGGGTTTGTCCAGAAATGGCTACGCACCCAAAAATCAATGGGAAACAGGATGACATTTACGATACTGGTGGAATTAGGCATATGCCATTTTCGGACAACGTCCCCATGCTTTATCATAATTTTATCCAATGTCTTCAGCACGATTTCGTTGCACCCTCCATTTTGAAACAAACCCAAGTACCAATGTGGTGGTGTATATGATGAAGCCACATACCAGTGTGCATAATATATAATATATCATATATAATATATCATATATAATATATCATATATAATATATAATATATAACATATAACATATAATATATGATTTATGATTTATGATTTATGATATATGATATATGATATATATATAATATAATATAATATAATATAATATAATATAATATAATATATAATATTTGATATAATATATAGAATAACACAATATAATATAAGATATAACATATTTTTTTTAAAATAGAATAATACATAAAATTATATATTATATATTATAATATATCATATTATATTACATTGTATTTATCATATAGTATAATATACAATATATATATACATATTATATTAGAGTATATAGTATTTAATATACATAATATATGTATATATGATATGACTCGAAGATATAAAACCCACTACAATTGCCATGACGGGTTATCTCCATTTGTTGCTACAGGTACCCCAGACGGGCGGATCGGAAACGCCTAGCTGCCAGCTTGCAGGAGCCAATGATTTACCAACTGGTTGAGTTCCAATGGATGTTTCCAATGGAAAATGGTGATTTTCCATAGCAAACTGTTAGTTTACCGGAGGGATTATATATATATATACACATGGGGATTTCCATACATGGGGGTACCCCTATTTATGGATGGTTTATTTCATGGAAGATCCCAATCTCAAATGGGTGACTGGGGGTAGCCCTATGACTTTTCCGAAATCTTCGAAAATCTGTGGATTTCGCCAACATGGTCTTCTAATATGTCAAAATCAAAGTCCGGACCACAGATGTTAGTCCATTTTTAGTATCAACAATCCATTATTGGGGTAACAAATTTGACCATGGATTTGTTGAGATATACTATCCAATATATATATACAGTACATATACATTTCATATTGTCATATCCAACTTTGGATTTCAAGTAGTGATTTGAGGAGACTGACAAACCATGATAGAAACCAACTGGTTCGAAAAAAATACCGGTGGAATAGCTCGCTTGTAAAAGTGGCTGGAAAATCATGGTCATGGTTTAAGCGGAAAACTATGGTAATTTATCCATGAAACAGTGTTCAACACCTTACTTCATGAGTGATGACAAGTTGATCACCATTTATAACTTTTATAGCCCATGACGGATCCATGGTGCTGCCATATATGGTGCTCCATGGATCCCATCAATATACCCCAGTCATGTTAGCATGCCAGCACCATGGATCCGGGGTAGGGCATTTAGCCATGATCCTTGCCGGAGTTCGTAGATCAATGGGAGATCTCCAGGATCTGAATCAATGGAGGTACGTAAACGTACCATATTTCAGGTACCATATGAATTGGGGCTATATCCCCTGAAATTAAGGCCTGAAAAATAGGCCAAACATATATGGAATCGGTACCTCCAATAGTTCTCGGTTCCTGAAATGGCCATTGAGTCTACCAGCTTTCTTGCCGAAGGTTTTATAGTCCAGAAAATGGGGGATATCCGGGATAGCTATTAATCAAGAAGTTCATTGGGATGGGATAGGGGGTAAAAAACTACCCCATAGCCATGTTTTTTCGATGGCCCTAATCGAAATAGATGGTTTACAGAACTTAATAGCATGGTGGATCTTTCCATGGCAAACTGCGAATGTCATAACCAGATGGTACACTTTTTTCGATTGGGGATTGCTATCATCCACTGGGAATCCTGTTCTTCGCACTGCTCAACTGGTTTGAAACTACCCATTTTATGGGGATTTTTGGTTGTGAAAAATGCCATTAAAAAAACATGAGGATTGAAAGACTTGACCATGGAATATGATGATAATATGGCTCTGAAAATGGGGCCAAGGCCCCAAGTGATGGTAATTTTCGTGACCATTCTGATGCTGGCGCCAGGAGGGTTGGCTGGTGAGACCTGTGTGCTCCACGGTCCCCCCCAGAGTTTGGCAGAAGTATTTGCACCTTGAGACCGTTTTTTTCGCTTCGCGGACGTTTTTTCGCGGACGTTGGTTTCCATTTCCGCGAAATGTTGGGTTGAGAGATATGTTGGGATTGTGGTGTAATAATTGATAATTTGATGATAGTGAACGACTACGTGGTAAATCAACTAAGAATTTCAGGTACTTGATAGTGGTAGTTCTTGATATTTGATTCATTTCATGGTAAAGTAAGAACTGAGGTATACTAAGCTATGTACAACTTCGTTTTTCATTTGATTCCCATCATCCTATTTCCATGTTATCATCCATCATTTCCGAATCCGCTGACTTCGTTTTTTATAGGGTCAAAGCCTATTAGGGGATAGCAATATCAACAACCTTTTCAAACTCAGCATCTGTGTTTTCACGGGTGATGCCCCCAAAGCTCGGTTGATGATTCATGGGGACTTCAGCGATTGAGAAAGAAAAATATCAATGGCTTAAGGGGATCTCCCAGCAAAATATGGTACCTGAAATATGAAATATGGTACGTAACTAACGTAGCTCCATATTTTTTAGGATTAGGATCCTGAAGAAATTCCCATTGAACATATTTATGACTGTGTCTGAACATGGGGAGTTTTTTTCATGTCTGATACTATCAGCCGAGTCTCATGGCCATTTTCATAGGGAAAATTAGACGATTCATCATATTTTCATCCACTGGATATTAGGGGTACCCAGTATGGTGGTTTAACACAGCGAAGATCTCCATGTTTTTAAAAATTTTCGAACACGGAGCAAAAACTCCACAGCGCCTGTTTCATAGGCAAAATCTACGTATAGATCCAGTTTTTAGATAGACTTATCTTTGGCCGGTTTCCAAGGTATTATCCCATTTTTGTTGTGTGTTGCCAGACAACCCTACGCCTGTTTCGACATCTGCCAGTTGAGGCAGAAGCGAAGTGTTCTGCCTCGCGCGCCGCTGCCCCAACTGAATTCTGATATGTTGAAGGCGTCCGAAACAGCGAAACCCGGAGATATGCTGGGACTTGAGGTTAGAAAGAACGGAGATAGTATAACATAGTATAACCATTGGCATCCCCCCAAAAAATGATAGTGATCATATGTGATAATCATAGTGGTTGACAACTATCCCATCTTGAAGCAATCCAAGTGCCGGTGGAGGATCCACCATTGGCAGTTTCCAAACCTGGGAGGATCCTCCAAGTTCCCCTGTGGCCCCCTGTGGGGGCATGGGAACTGTATGGGACATATTAGGTGCTTGCTGGTACTGCTGGTACATCCAAATATTGCAAGTGCATAGGTGCTTGATGCAGTACATAAAAAAATAGCTAGTGTCATCTAGTGTCTATTTTTCTTTGTCACCGTGTTATTTTTGAGGTCGCAAATAAAGGCAGTATGTAGACAGCGTGCAGGTCATAGTACCAAGGTACTTTGTAGGAAGTGTATGGCTCAAAAATCCTGCAAATAGCATTCCGATGGGGGGCCCTGACTGAAATGCTGCAAATGGCATGCACATGGGATATTTTTTTGGGGGGGGTCATACCATTGAGGGGGAGGGGTTTGGGGCCAGCGAACCGGGAGCCGGGAACATCTTTACCATTTTAACTGGTTGCCCATATGGCATTCATTAGCCCATATGGTATATCCCTTTGGATCCCTTTGGTCATCTACCAGTTGCTATAAAAATTGGATAAGCATGATCCATGAACGTTGATGATTTATATGTATATATTTATATGATTTATTCCGCTTGAAAATGGTGATTTGACAGTCCCAGCCTCCTACTTTCTGTAAGTGAGTTGTGACCCCAGTTACAAGATGGACTAAGTTTATAATACCCTCTGGTAAACTAACGTAACTATGGAAAATCACCATTTTCAATGGGCAAATCCACTATTTCCATGGCCATTTTCAATAGCTTTTTGTTAGTTTACCAGGCCGGGTAACACTCTATTCAAACAGGTGCCCAAAAGTTGGACACGGCCTCGTCTTACGTAACATATACATTATCATATGGTTATTGTAAGCGAGTTATGGAATATCGCGAGTTTATATATATTATATTATATTATATTATATGGGTAAATTATAACGACCTCACTGCGACCGAGCCCTGGAATCATGGTTTATTTTAGGGGAATCATCCCCCAATGGCCGCACTATTCAGGTTAGTGAAATATTATAATTTACCCATATATTATAGCAACATTTATAAATCCATTGTAACTTTTTTCTGGAACACTATAAGATATATCAGATATACCATTCTGGAAGCTATCCACAAGGTGGTGACCCCCCCAGGTACAAGTTGATCTATAAACCATAGCTAATAGCAACTAGTTCGATATATCTACCATAAACCATCATAAACCCAAACGTTCTTCGAGTTTGTTCAACCAACTTGGCTAACATAAATAAGTTCTAAACCCCATCATCATCAAATCCCATTTTTCTTGGTCAAATCTTATTTCTTAAAATTTCCTATCCCATAGGATCCATGTATGGTATATATGCTAACATTGGGAGTATATTGATGGTAAATGTTACCATATATACCATACATGGATCCTATGGGTATGGTTTCCTATGGTGAAATCCATCGTTTTCTGGGGGGCACCACACCTGGTTCCGGGCATCCGCAGATTTCTCGCGGACGAAGATCCGGCAGCCACCAGCTGTACTGTGGACATTGCTTGGTCGGCGCCTGGGCACCGGTTAGACTTCGATGTCGAAAAACATCGGATTCAACGAATGGAGAGACCAGGTTTTCTGGGGATTGGTACCCTCTGGTTATGTCAAACATAGCTATTGAAAATGGCCATTGAAATAGTGAGTTTTCCCATAAAAAATGGTGATTTTCCATAGTTATGTTAGTTTACCAGAGGGTATGGGATTGGTAAACCATGTTTTCATGGGATTCGTAAACCATGTTTCATGGGATTTTCATGGGAGTTTCATGGGATTTCACCATGAAAAGTGGTGATTTAATGGGATCTAATGGGATTTAATATCATCTAATGTGGTTTTTCTACAATGCCATTTTTACCAGCCGGCTGGCAATGGTTTACATGGAATCCCACAACAATTAATATTGATGGTAAACATGGCATTGTTTTACCCACCAAAAAAATGTGTGGGTCGTTGAGGATTCAACCCCCGAGATCCAGGAATTGGGCTGGTCGAACGGTGCTACCCTCTGGTTATGACAGCCAGTTTGCCATGGAAAGATTCACCAGCATTTAATGGTGGTTTTTCATGGGATTTTATGGTGGTTTAGTAGGGTTTAATAGGATCTAAGAAAATAACCATCTGGTTATGACATTCACAGTTTGCCATGGAAAGATCCACCATGCTATTAAGTTCGGTAGTCACCATCTATTTCGATTAGGGCCATCGAAATCCCATGGCGAACTGTAACAAATAACCAGGCCGGGTAACGTTGTTGGCGATTTTTCAGCCATGGCCCAGCCATCGAAATCGCAACGATTTACCGAGGCCTGTCGGTATTTTGGGGGGTGATGGATCCACCACCAAGAATTGGAGCGAGGACTTTTCACAACCAAACACGTATGGTACTGGTAGGGTCAAATTTCTTTGTAATGTGGAAATAAGCCATCAATAAACCTGCCATATATATATATATATTGGAGATGATTTTGTTACCAACCATTTTTTTGTAAATCGTGATATTTTTGGGATGGTTTCTGGCAGTGGCGCCACATCAGCCATTCTTTGAAGAGATCATCCGATGATCCTTGGGTGAATCCGAATAACTGGGATTCTCCATGGCCATGACATCAATTTCTCCAATTTCCCAGTTGATGGGTATTAACCTTGATTAAGGTTATAACCCAGGTTTAAAGCCCTAATAAATGTGTTTTTTTTTTACGGTAAACATCAACATCGAAAGGTATGATGGAATCAATTCCCCATCAATTGCACATGACGTAATTACCATTCCTCACAACATTTACCCTCCACTAGATTAACATAGACCTAACATAGACCTCACCAGTAACATTTGAAATTAAGAATCACTAGTCACTATTCATCACCATTAGTCACTATGAATCACTATGAATCACTAAAAATCGGAATATTAACTAGGGTTAGTCCGAAATTTGTAACTGGATTACAACCCTTTTAATCACCATTAACATTTAATCATCCTTGTTAGTCAGTGGTTAGTAACCCTAGCTATCCCCGATTCCTAGGGCTTTCCAGTAACTGGATTACAACCCCACAGGATGGGGCCCCCTCAGTTATAAGATGCTATAAGATATTATAAGATATTATAAGTTATATCTACAAAAAGATAGAGAATTCAGCAGCCATATCTCAACTGAACGCTATCGCTCGCTCGAGCCCCATCCAGGATTTGTGACAGATTGTGACAATCTTCGATTTGGAGTTCAAGATGGGATAGTTGTTGAACCGCTATAAATGATCTGGTTGGTGGTTTGGAACATTTGTTTTTCCATATATATATATATATATACGGCAAATGCCTGGGTTCTGCCCGGACCCGCAACGACGACGGGCGACGCATCATCATCATCATCATCATCATCATCAATCAAACCCTTATTGGAGATCTTCAATGCATGTAGAAGTTTAACGGGGGTGGGAGAATTAAACCCTTATTGAAGATCTTCAGTGAATGCAGAAGTTTCACGGGGGTGGGAGAATTAAACCCTTATTGAAGATCTTCAATGAATGTAGAAGCTTAATGGGGGTGGGAGAATTAAACCCTTATTGAAGATCTTCAATGACTGTAGAAGTTTAACGGGGGTGGGAGAATTAAACTCTTATTGAAGATCTTCAATGACTGTAGAAGTTTAACGGGGGTGGGAGAATTAAACCCTTATTGAAGATCTTCAGTGAATGTAGAAGTTTAACGGCGGTGGGAGTTTTAATATTCTCTAATATCTTTGTTGATCTTCCCAATTGAATGTAAAGTTTAACGGGGGTTGGAGTTTAATATTCCCTAATACCGTTTTTGTTTTTCCCATAGGAATTTCGGGTGTTTTGACCATTTTTTTTAAATAGTCCCTAGTACCTTTGCTGTTTTTCCCATAGGAATTTAAGGTTTAATGGGGGTGGGAGTTTAACATTCCCTAATATCTTTGTTGATCTTCCTAATTGAATGTTAAGTTTTACGATTTGAGAGTTTAAAATTTCCTAGTACCTTTTCTGTTTTTCTCATAGAAATTTCAAATATTATGCTGTTTTTGTTTTTCCCATAGGAATTTCGGGTGTTTTGACCTTGTTTGTTTAATAGTCCCTAATACCTTTGTTATTTTTCCCATAGGAATTACTGTAATTTGCAATATCATTTGTTTGTGAATTGTAGATATATACGCTGCAACGCCTGGGCAGAACCCAGGCGTTGCGCGTATATATATATAGGGAATAATCATCCCAACTGACGAACTCATATTTTTCAGAGGGGTAGTCAACCACCAACCAGTAACCAGTGATTATCACTATAACTTCCTAACCCATCCATCACTAATCACCATCAAGAAAATCACCTCACCAACATTTAACATCAAAAAAAATCACCAACATTTACCCTCTGGTAAATTAACATAGACCCTGGCAGTCATCGGGCTTGGAAGATTAGTTAGTTTCCATGAAAACTAGGCTATTAAAACAGGGTCAACAAGTTCATTTACCAGAGGATAATGTTAATATATCATAATATATCCCATTAACTCTAGGATAAAACTAGGTCTTACATATTCTCTGGGTAAATCATCATATTTCACCAACCAGTTCATCACCCATCCACCATCCACAATGAAAATCACCATTTTTCCGTGGGATCCGCAAGGCGATGGCTCGGACGAAGCGGAGGAGGCGCGCTGGTGCTACGTCTGCGGCTGCGGTGGCGCCTTGGTGGGTTTTCTCCGGTGAAACGGGGTGGAAATCCGAGGGAAAATCCCAGGGAAAATGGATGAAGATGGTGAAAACCTCGGGATGAATCAACGGAAAATGAATGAAGATCTAGAGATTTTTTTGGAAAAATGCTGGTTTTTTGAATGGGATTTGATTCATGGGGATTTTTTTTGGAAATCATATGGGATATACTTTAGGGTTTTTACGAGGAAAAACCCATGATTTCCACATCTACAATTGGTGGGTTTTCCACATGTTAGTTTACAGTTGGGTCAAATGATACGGGTGTGTCTCAAAATTTGTGTTTATCCTCCAGATGGCAATTTTAACATGGAAATGATGATTAACCAATCGATTTTGGGGCTACCAAATCTTTTTTCGACACATCCACATGAAAAAAACACGCGTTTTTTTCTCTAAGAATGGCAGATTAAGATGCGATACCCTCTGGTAAACATACAAAAAACTATGGAAAATCACCATTTTCAATGGGAAAATCATGGAACATCCACTATAAATGATCATGTTCAATAGCTATGTTTGACATAACCAGAGGGTAGCATCCTCCTGGCCGTGGCTGGTTTTTTTTTTCCATCGGTCCGATGGCCCTCAGGGGATTTCCCCAGCGATGGTTGAGACAACCATCTGGGGTAGTTGTTGAGCATGATGACAACATATGCCATGGAAAGATTCACCACCATTTAATGGTGGTTTAATGGGATTTTATGGTGGCTTAATAGGATCTAAAAAAATAACCATCTGGTTATGACTAACAGTTTGCCATGGAAAGATCCACCATGCTATTAAGTTCGGTAAACCATCTATTTCTGTGGGCCATCTATACCATGGCTATGTTAAATAACCAGAGGGTATATCCAATTATATAAGGAAGTAGAAGAACAGAAGCGCCAATCTCCACAGAGAGGTTTGGAATTCATGGGCTTTGTGGAATTGCACAAGGTGAGACCCCCAGGAATAATTTTCGTTATATCCACCATAGACCCACACTTTAACCAAGCTATAAGTCAGCTTATATAGAAACTTAGAAAATGATCAGTATAGTGGAAACTTATAAAAAACATATGTATATATATAATTATATACTGTATATAATATATATATATTATATGATTTATATTTGCTAGAAATTTACTTACAATCATAGGTTCTATCATCTCACACGGGACACACCCCAGGCACCGGCAGTCAGAAGCTGTGTGGACCGAAGAAAGGCCCTTGGTTTTTTTGCGGTGGCGAACGGCCGTAACGGGACGGGCTTCTGGGTGGAGTTGGCGAACTGGAAATCATCATGTTTAATCTGGTTATTTAACATAGCGAACTGGAACATCCCAACCATAAATGCAGGTTTATTTAATTTATAGCCGGGAAAATCATCTGTAAATGGACCATTTTCCAGTTCACAAACTGGGTGAAATTCCCGGCCACAACGGGCAACCACAACCAGTGGTGTTTTTAACAATTACTGCAGCGAGCTCTTGTCAAGTTCGATTATGGTATAGAAATCCATAGGTCAATCCCATTCTTGATGGTTTGAATCCCATAGAAATCCTATTGTAGTAAATCCAAAAACACCATAATGTGGTTAAAACAATGTCATAAACCATCCCATTCTTGATGGTTTGAATCCCACCCATATATTCATGGTGATGACTGGGGGATGGGATTCACATGACATTGTTTTAACCACAATAACTATAACTGTATATAACCAGTATATAGTAACATGGTAACCATCATATCATAACCATTAATCAATATTGAATATATACTGGTTGGTGGTTTGGAACATTTTTCATATATATATATATACATATATATATATATATTGGGAATTTCATCATCCCAACTGACGAACTCATATTTTTAAGAGGGGTGGCTCAACCACCAACCAGTGATTATCACTATAACTTACTAATCCATCCATTGAATCACCATCAAGAAAATAACCAACATTTAACATGAATCACGAAAATCACAAGAAAATCGCCATGTGATCCACCCCACTATAGTAGCTTTATAACCATCAAAAAGTCCCCATTCAATGGCCATGGTGACATCTTGTCGAGGCAAGCAATGCCTCTCGTGTTTGCGCACGCAGTGGAGCCATGCCTCCGATGACCCGGACAACGAGGTGGCTTTCATCGAGGTGACGCATGGGAAGATAGGGAGAAGATGGGTCAAAAACCACCAGGAAACCATGAAAACTCGGCAAAATGAGGGGATTTCTCATGATGTTTGCATGATTTTTCCCCATTTTCATAGGGAAAAAATATGGAGAAAACTCCATCGAAAATCCATCAAAATTTGAGGGAAAACTGAAGATTATCCAATTGGAAAGTCATGATTTTTGGGTCGTTTTTTTGGGATGAAAGCATTTTTGGGATTCAAATCCTGAGTAATCAGCTTGGGATTAATAAGATTGGGAGTAATTGGGGATTAGTAATAAGATTGGGGACTATTAATACAAATGAGATTAGTAATAAGATTGGGGACTAGTAATACACATGATATTGGGGATTGGCAATAAGATCGGGAATATGAAATCCCAATTGACGTGGCTAAACGTTTCGCCAGTGGCTTATTGGAACATCTTTTCCATGACTGGGGAATCTATAGATCTATATCTTTTCTGTTTTTTTGGGGACCCCAAAAATGGCGCAAGTTGAACAGTGCTCAACTTAGCCCTGGCGGTTGATATTTTTTTTTCTGTTGGGCTTTTTTTGTATCCAATACATTGGTGTGGTATGTTTTTTTTTCTTTAAGGGATGACAGAGGCTCCGAAAAACACTGCTCACTTGGGAACAGTTGTGGAAAACCAAAAGGAATATATATATAATATGTGAATAGTATGGTGATATAATGTGGTTCAATGGGTGGGATGTGCTGGGAGTTTTCACTAACCAACAAGTAGGATGATAGTTGGATGCGTCTGAAAACTTGAAGATTATATAATTAACTCTCCAAATGGTGATTTTAAGAGGGAAAATAATTGAGTTATGATGATTAATCATTAAATTTTGGGGTATATACCCGAATGTCAGACAACCCAAAATCAAATTGGGAAAACATGTGGGAAAAACAAACGGGATTATTGATGATTATTATATATTCATATACGATATGTAAATTTATATATATATACATAGCTAAAGCAATATTTTTTGATATGGGTTGTCCGTAGATCGGGCTACAACATTCGAAGATATGATATTTTCAAAATACATAATACACATATATTGTTCAATGATGTTCAATGAGGTAGCTTAGGTTTTCAAGCATCAGATCTGGGGGTAGCACATTTCAGATAAATCCAGTTGATGGCTAGTGTTAAGTGTTAAGCGATTGGGGAAATGGTTGGGAAATGGCTGGGGAAACTGCATTTCCTTTGGTGAATATGGGCTAGGACTTCCCCCTGGGCATTTACTGTATTTACCCTCTGGTAAACGTTTACATAACTATGGAAAATCACCATTTTTAATGGGAAAATCCACTATAAATGGCCATTTTCAATAGCTTTTTGTATGTTTACCAGGCCGGGTAAATGGGACCCAATGGCTATTTCTGTCTTTACACCTTGTGACAAAGATGCCACCAGCAGCATGTTTGACACCATCCTGCAATTTGGATGTAGACACCCTCTGGTAATTTAACATAGCTATGGTCATGTAAACTATCTAAACAAAAACTATCTAAACCAAGGTGAACCTAAGCAAACCATTATAACGTCCTGCAATTTGGTCTCATATGGAGGTTTCGTAAGTCATGGGGGTACCCCCAAATCATCCAAGTCATTAGACCATTTTAGTATTGAAAGCTATGATTATGATCACTTGGGGATCCGTATTTTTAACATAGCTATGGAACATTGATTAACATTACCCATTTACTTCGATGATTTACCTATATCAACCGTTATAAACCAACATAATTATCATGTTACCTATGAAAAACATGGTGATGTTCCATATATACCCATATAAAGCCATATCAACTGCAATAATCACATCATTAATGGCGCCCATATGGCTGGCTGGATCTGTTGGGGGACGAACATCCAAAAAAAAAAATCCAACAGCTATTTTGATGTGAACAGTTTTCGGGGTTTTCGGTGTTTTGACCCATCCCCATATATCATCAATGGTTATAGATTATAGTGGTTGGTGGTGACTGGAACATTAGAAAAGTGGGGTTACTAACCTACCAAAATGGTTGTTTTATGGGATTTAATGGCTGGTTGGTGGTTTGGAACATTTTTTTTCCATATATTGGGAATTTCATCATCCCAACTGACTAATATTTTTCAGAGGGGTGGTGAAAAACCACCAACCAGATGGTTATAGACGATGATATCAACAATGATTACCGCATTGCTGTTCATGTTTATTAAGGGTTACCAATGCTTATCAACAGTGATATATCTTGCCTATATATATATATAGTATTATAGTCAACACTGTTTGGCAAGCCATCTATAGACATGAACAAGGATTAAATATAATATAAATATAGACATTCATATATTATGTTATATATGGTTGTTCATTGTTATTCATGGTTGTTAGTGGTTAATCATTAACTATAATGGCTTGATTAATGTTCATATAACCATGAATAACCATTATAATAACCACTATAACCATATATAGCCATCTAACTGTATCATGTTATTTTTATTATTGATAGCCCGTATATCCATTCATATAGTTATAATTATATGATACGGTTAGATGGCTATATGATAATGATTTATGGCTGGATAGGTTATCAATATAGTATAACATCATTATTTTCACAATATCCATTCAAAGATCATATAACAATAAGCATGGTTATAACCAGTATAATAACCACTATAACCATATATAGCCATCTAACCGTATCATACTATATATTATTGGCCACATTATAATAAATCTCTATACTATAGATAGGGATATTCATTATTAACTATCATTCATTATGATAAATTAACCATCATTATTAATGACATCATTAACCATATTTTCAAAAAATAGACATTATAACCATGAATATTCATGAATAATGTCTAATTACTATTATTTGTAACCATCATTTCATCATCCTTACTATTTTTACCTATTAACTATTATAGCCATTATGACCACATTATGATAAATTAAGTATTATAGATAGGGATATTCATTATTAACTAGTAGTCATTATAATAAATTAACCATCATTATTAATGACATGATTTACCATATGTTTTTAAAATTAGACATTATAATCATGAATATTCATGAATAATGTCTAATTACTATTATAACCATAATTTCATGATCATTATTATTCTTACCATTATTACCTATTAACTATTATAACCATTATGACCACATTATAATAAACTAAGTATTATAGATAGGGATATTCATTATCAACTATTATTCATTAAAACAAATTAACCATCATTATTAATAACATTATTAACCATATTTTTTAAAATTAGACATTATAACCATGAATATTCATGAATAATGTCTAATTACTATTATAACCATCATTTCATCATCATTATTATTCTTACCGTTTTTACCTATTAACTATTATAACCATCATGACCACATTATGATAAATTAAGTATTATAGATAGGGATATTCATTATTAACTAGTAGTCATTATAATAAATTAACCATCATTATTAATGACATGATTTACCATATGTTTTTAAAATTAGACATTATAATCATGAATATTCATGAATAATGTCTAATTACTATTATAACCATAATTTCATGATCATTATTATTCTTACCATTATTACCTATTAACTATTATAACCATCATGACCACATTATAATAAATTAGGTATTATAGATAGGGATATTCATTATTAACTATTATTCATTAAAATAAATTAACCATCATTATTAATAACGTTATTAACTATATTTTAAAAAATTAGACATTATAACCATGATTATTCATGAATAATGTCTAATTACTATTATAACCATCATTTCATGATCATTCTTATTATAAGCATTATTACCTATTAACTATTATAACCACTATGACCACATTATAATAAATTAAGTATTATAGATAGGCATATTCATCAACTAGGCTCAAAGTGCACTAGGGTTTTTGTTTGGGACCCCCCGCTTGTTTTCCGTCTCCGCACCGCACTCCCATGGCGCCGCGTGAGAAGACCCGTGAGAAGAGTCGTACGCCCACAGAAAACAGAGCAAGACAGAAGCCAAAAGAAGAAGCACAAGAACCCAAGCCAAACAACGATGGGAAGGAAACAAAGACAGAAGAAGTTGAAGAAATGGAAGTTGACCCAGAAGCCAAGAAGAGACTAGAGTTCCAATCACCAGAATGCAAAGAACCACTCAGCACAGGTGAAGCCCCAGAACAGATTGCCAAGAAGCCACGAGCAACAGTTACTTTCCAAACACTCTCAGACAGTGATGAAGAATCTCAGCAATCCAAGGCAAGAAGCTCCAAAAGCCAACAGTCAGGCAGCGAAACAACAGAAACAACACAGATTACCAAAGCCACACGCAACATGGAACTGATGACCATGGAATCCCCCATCAGAACTGATGGCACAAAGACACCCCTGAGGAGACCTGAGGAGAAACGAAGAGAGAGATGCGTCAGTCGCACATCAGACCACTCAAGCATCCCAGACACAAACGATGAACAGCTTCAGCGCGAAGAAGAAGCGCTACACAACAAGGCTTTGACAACAGATGACTTACAAGCAATCTTGAGAAGCGAACGTCACCGCAACAAGAGAAGAATTGAGCACCTACAAGCCACAGTCGACCATGTCCAAGACAACCTACAAGAAGCCATCTACGACATCGAAACCCAGTCCAGGATTGGTGCACACCTTGTATACAAGAGACTCCAAGAAGACGCAAAACAGGCCTCCCTTTCTTTCACAGTAGAAGGATTCCCCAAAGAAGCCACCCCCACAGACAAACACGCATTCATCAAATGGATCCTTGAAGCATCAGAATGCAATGATCCGGATGTCAAGGCCAGCTTAACAAACACCCGGGGAGAGATTAGCAACACCATCCTAGTGACGTTCTCATCGGGATGGCACAGGAACAAAACATTCCAGTGGTATACAGACCAGTACTCCCGCCGCAAACAACAGTTGTGGTGGTGGT